GATTCCCAGCACCAACATGGTGAGTAACAACCATGTGTAACTCCAGTTCCAGGGGATCTGACACCCTCTTTTGACCTCCGCATTGCACCATTGCATGACACAGGTGCACTTCCTACAATCCAGTCATTAAACTCTTGCATATATAATAAAAATAATAAATAAAATATTAAAAACAAAAAAAGATTCTAAGTTGCATTGAGTTTTCTAAGGAATTCTACACACAGCTATGGAAGGAAAGGGAGCCAAGTTAGCACCCAGTCTAGCAAAAGTGCATCCAGTCTAGCTGCTCCTTTACTCCGTGCATCCCGAGGTCTTTGCCTAACCCGGAGTGTTTCCAGTTGTATCTCCAGCTGGGCAGTCCAGGTAATGAAAGTGTGAAGTGCTCTTGAAGGTCACTCTTGGATCCTGTAAGCTGATCATTTTTTGCTTTGTCAGAACTGTACCCCGTATTCTCGCCTGACTTTCAGAGAGTTAAGTGTGAGCACTAGGGGATACTGGGAGGGCAGGCTGGCAAAGCATACCAGGAGGCAGGACAAGCACAGACTCCTGGAACAGATTTGAAAATGAGAACACATCTAGGAGTTCAAAGTATGCTAGTTTGTGGAGTCCCAGGAAGCATGGCCATATACTTGGGATTTACGAATGTCTGCCCTAGACCAAGAAGATTTAGGGACTGGAATTATATTTTTAATATATCGCTCTCAATAAACAACAGTCAAACCACTCTAGTTGGGAGCTTTGGAAGATAAATTCAATTTTCCAGGGCTTTTATTTCTAACAAAAATTTCATATTCAAAAGTCCTAAAAGGAATTTACCCACAAAAGTATCCTTCCTAGTTACAGAAGCAGACTGATACCCGGTGAGAATAAAATCCAGCTGCCCTAAAGGAGTTAATTCCAATGCGGTATAATTTTCAACTGATAACACACACACACACACACACACACACACACACAGACACACACACACATACCCACACATGCACACACATATGTAAGAATTCATTAGCTATAGGATTACCAACAATTCAGGGAGTACTTGGTTTACATCAAGGAAACAAATGTGAACTTTTACAGATAAGACAAAAAACATATTTTTTACTCCATATACAGGAAAGTATCACCACCACACATACTTTGAAATTCACACAAGACAGAGAAGGACTTGCACCAGTTAAAATGCCTTCTCTGCCACTTCCAGCCAGTGTCCCTGCCAGGAGCTGACCCTAGGAATTTTTCACCTTGTATCTTTGTGGTATTAGCAAAGTCTAGGTTAAGGTTGTATCATAGTTTTGTTATTCTTGTTGTTGTTGTTGTTATTATTTGTGTTAATATACATATTTTTACCTGTAACTTAAGGATCATTTTTTTCCCAGCTCAAGCTAGCTGGTAATGCATTCTAGTTACCTTCGAGTAAACTTGCTTTGGAGAAGACCTCAACTTAGGGAAAGAATTGGCTATTTATAGTCTCAATGGCTTCTCCTCGGGATGGCTGTGCTTCGTAAACATTAGCCTTCTCTTCTAGCTGTAGGGTGTTTGGAGAATGTGACAGAAGTCAAGACATAGACACGGAGCTGTATAGCTCTGGGCCTGGGCTCAAAGTGGTCTTGAGTAAGTCCTTAGACCTCTTAAACTTCAGTTTCTTTTGTGAGATGGACTGGAAAGCACTGTCTTACATTATTATGTTGGTCTTTTGTTGATGATGTTGTTTGTTTGGTTTGGTCTTTTTGAGGCAGGATCTTCCTGTCACTCTAGCCGACCTGGAGCTTGCTATGTAGACCAGGCTGGCTTCAATCTCACAGAGATCTCCTGTCTATGCCTCCCAAGTGCTTGGATTAAGGTCAGGTATAGTATTATGAAATAAAGAATGGAACACTGTGCAGGGCACATCAGTTTATTGGCCATGGAATGGGTTGTTGGATCATCTGGTCCCTGAGCCCCACTTATTTTGAAGATGAGAACCCAGACTCAGGACCAGGATCATGCAGGCAGGCAGTACCAAGCCAGTGGCAGGTGGGGGTCTCTGGACTTCACATACTTGTGCATTGTGCTCTGACTTCAGTTCTGAGAGGCAGATGCTGATCCGTGATTCAGTCCCTTCAGGTCTGCATGGTGACTTGCTGAACCTTCCTTGTATGTGGGCTCTGCCTCTCCTTAGGAGTCCCTTTTGATGAAAGCAGGACAACCTCATTCATAGTAAGGCCCCAACGTGTCCCCTGCTGTTACAGTCTTTGAAAATAGCATCTGGGGAAGAGGGGGAGGGAGAGCCATCACTTACTGAATACATGTTGGGTGTTCTTGTGATCTCTACAGTGTGCACACAGTGACATGCTGCTGTTCCCCATGGTGAAAAATGGAGAACCCAGGCTCAGACTGGCTGAGCAGCCTATGCAGCAGGCATAGACACTGGCAACAGAGGTCAGGCCTCCACCTCTCTGGCTGCAGGCTGAGTAGAAAAATCATTCTGCAGTGCAAACAAAACAGGCAGCCCTTGACAGAGCTCAGAGAAACCAGTGCCTTGTCACAGATCTGTGATGTTTGAATGTTAACTCAAGGTTTTTTTCATGCCCACAGGGAAAACCAGGGAGGGGTTTGGGAGCAGGAAAAGTTGGTTTGCAGCTTGCAGACCATCCCTAGAAACCAGTGCATGCAACACACGTGGGCATCTGTAGCTACAGGGCTCCCCTCTTTCTGAAGAATAATTAATAAATATTTTCTTTTAGCATATAACAAACAGTTGAACCAAACAATTATGTAAACTGGAAATGACCCAAAATGCAAGCAGTTGGCAGCCACACAGTGAAGTGCATTGTCGTGCACATGTGCGAGTTCCTCACTCCGCCTCTCTGGTGATCTGCACTTAATAGGAATATTTTAAACTATGTAGCTAAGCAACAGAGGTAATTGTTGCTTTCTAGAGCTTTTGTTAGCACTCTAACACAGCCCAAATATGCATAATTAGGTATAATGTCTATAAATCATTATTGTACACATGTGGGTAGTTAAGTGGAGTGAGAGAATAGTTCAATGAATTGAGCGTACTCACTGAAAATGCTTTTTATTTGTTTTCTGTAGTTCATAATACTTTAAAATTATCATAACCCCTTACACTTTCTCTTAATAGCCAACTGTGATATTGAGAAAAACTTCATTTGCATTTTAGACTATGTTTAATATATTATTTAAACCTGGAGTTGCTCTGATACGGATTCAGGAGAGCATAGGCCCATCCTATCAAACATTACGTGCTTGTTTATCCAGCCTCTTTTCTAGGAACTGAAATGTTAAATTTTTCAGTTTATATTGAATGGATCCCAACAAAAGAGTGTACCCTATAATCAGCATTATTTACAGGGCTAGTGTTGTGACTGAATTCTTCTCTGCATCCAAAAATGCTTTTAGTTACTATGGCAATATTTACTTGATCCTGGCAGTCCAGTGTTGATTTAGGGAGATAATTACCAGAAAGGAAGATGATGGAGATGTATTTTTGAGTGTCCTTGTCAGAGACAATGTTTATAAAAAATTAAATGAGACCCCAAAAAGGCCCATTGTTCTCCAGGCAGACACCTCTCCTGCAGCCTCACACTGATAGCTATGCTTTTCTTCCCTCCAAAGATGTTTATTAACACAGAAAGCTCTTCACTTGGTGTCTTTAACAGTCTTTAAGGGGCTTTATTATTTTATGTTTCCCATTCCCCAACCTGCCTTTGAGATGCATAAATGGTCCCTCCTTTTGTTTGATTTTGTTTTGTCCTAGTGGATGTCAGAGAATGCCGGCTGGGCTGTTTGGTACATTTCACAGCCTGGTGTGCACTGGATACCATCTCATAGGCCTGGCCAAGCTAGTGTCACTTAGTTGGAATGTTTGCCCTGGGGCAGCCATGGTACCCTGATCTTACATACATACATATATACGTACAATCTGTCACACCAGCCAAATGAAAGGGGGACACTGACAGCGACCCTGGGAACAGCTTTCCTTCAGACTGGCCTGGGCACTTGGAGCCTGCTCTTGGTCACAGGGTTCCTTGACTTCGGACGTGAGCTGGTCCTGTACTGAGAACAACTGCTTCACAGTATCCTTCAACCATCCCCACCTTTCATCTGCTTTACTTTTTCATGCAAATGCATGCAAATACCAGACTAGAAATGTGTTACTGTCTATTATGTCCAAGCCTCTTAATTATCCCATTTGGTTTTGCCTGGATATAAAATTGTAATGTGGCACTTACAGAGTAACCAGAAAGTCTTGAGAGCTTCAGAATCCCTTAGTTAAGATCTCTGTATGGATGCCTTGGTACATTACCTAACATTCCATAAAATCAGGAATATTTCTGAGACACTGTGGAGAACAGAATTGAAATAAGCTCCAAATGTAAATTGTCATGCCACAGAGAAGTCTGATAAGCATGTTCCTTACAGGATGTGCTATGTATGTTGTTTCTCCCTGGTTGGCTAAGATACATGAATATCAGAGGTACAAGAGCAGTAACTCCAGACTCAGGCTATGTTGCTACTAAGTGCTTATCATGGACAGCTGCCCGTAGAAGGACTTCACTCTTCATATGCTGGAAGTCATGAAAGCCTATTTCTTTAAGGATACTTTGGAGAAAATTAGGCTCTAAGTTTATTTTGTTTTATAGCATATATTTTTTCTCATTAACGTTTGTAAAAGTAATAGATACTACACATTACACATATTTTGTATGCATACCAGTATGCATACACATATACATGCACACACATATGCACACATTTACATTTACATGTATATGTATTGTAATACAAGTTACATTAATTTCTTTTAGTTTTTTGCTGTTCAATTGGATAATTTCTTAGAAGTAGGATGTCAGTGTAGTCCAGGCTTGCCTTGAACTTGCAATCTAATTACCTCTGCCTCCTGCATGTTGAGATTACACACATGTACCACTAGACTTGCTCTCTTTGAAATATTTTTTACTCTGTTTTTTTAATATTGGTTTTCTCTTTTTTTGTAGAAGGAAGCCTGCTAAAACCCACAGATGAAGCCCTTCATTCACCTGCACAAGAAAACTCCCTCAGGAAAGAAGATCTATACACTTGTTATCCAGAGCTCATGGTCAAATCTTTAATGCACTTGGGTAAATTTGAAAATAATGTTTCTGTTCAGAACATAAGTGAAAACTTAAATGACAGCGGCATCCAGTCTTTAAAAGCAGAGAGTGATGAAGCTGACGAGTGCTTTAGGATTCATGTGGATGATGGAAGAGACACAGTTGATGGTTCCAAGCCAGCTTTCTGCTCCTCTGACAGTGAAAGTAACTCTGACAGTACAGAGAATGGGTGGGACAGTGGCTCCAACTTGTCAGAAGACACCAAACCTCACAGAGGCCCCAAATACAGGTTGAAAGACAGAAAAAAGGACCTGTTGGAAGCTCCTGAAATAAAATCTGAAGGTGACAAACTTATTTCTTACGAGAATAGGTGTGATTCTGACACAGATGGAAGAGACTCAGCGAACACTCGTGTGGAACCCTTGAATAGTGAAGCCCAGCCTTCTTTCCCAGAGGCTGAAGAAGATGGCAAGAGCCTGGTCACCGTTCCAGAGGAGCCTGGTGACATGGAGAGAACCCGAGGGAGCCTGAGTCTGCTTGAGCAGGCCATTGCCCTTCAGTCAGAGCGAGGCTGTGCTTTCCATCATACTTACAAAGAGCTGGACCACTTTCTCCTGGACCGCCTGGTGGGGGAAAGGAGGCAAACCAAAGTTACTGACACGGGTGGAAGACAAATCCTTAACAATAAGCGTAAGGCACATTTTTATATTTGCTGTAGGAATTAAGTTGATTTAGGGTTTGAAAAAATGTTAACATTTATTATTCCTTCTAGATTAGCATTTCAAAAATTAATATAATTTTAGGGGGCTGGAGAGACAGCTCAGTAGTTAAGAACACTGGCTACTCTTGCAGAGGACCCAGGTTCAATTCCCAGCACCCACATGACACCTAACTACTGTCCCTAACTCCAGTTCTAGGGGCTCCAACACTCTCCCCTCCACAGGCATTGTACAACATGGGTGCATTTACATAGATGCAGGCAATACACTCATACACATAAAATAAAAAAATAATAAAATATTAAAATATATGTAATTTTGGAATCAGTTCGTAGTTGTGAAATGCACCATTTCTTCTTGTTATCAGCCAAGCTCTGTCAGCTCCACATTGTCTTCACCCCTAAAACATGGCATCTGTTTCTTTTAGTTCAGTCAATTCTTTAAAAACACATCATACCATTTTAAATTACTTACCTGGACATTTTAGATGATTTTAACTTATTAGACAAATCAATTCCAGAAAATTAGCTTTTTTTTCCTCACCCCTTGTTCTGAGATCATCTGCCTTTGACCTTCAAAACTGATGATCCAAGTGTTGTGGCTCACGCCTTTAGTCCCAGCACTCAGGAGGTAGAGGTGGGTGGATCTCTGTGAGTTAGAGGCCAGCCTGGTCTACATAGAGAGTTCCAGGCCATCTGGGGCTACAGGGAAACCCTGTCTTGAGAAAATTTTAACAAGGGGGCTGGAGAGATGTTTCAGCAGTTAAGACCACTGGCTGCTCTTGCAGAGGATCGAAGTCACCCACACAGTGGCTATCAACCATCTGTAACTCCAGTTCCAGGAACTCTAGTGCCCTCTTCTGACCTCTTTGTGCATTGCACGACACACGTGTACTTACATACATGCAGGCAATACACTCATACACATAAAATAATACAAATAATAAATATATATTTTAAAAGACAAGTGAATAAAATCACTTGTATTCCAAGCTGGATGCTCTGATCCCTAATCCTTCTTGGGATAAAACTAGGTGTTACTGTATTTATAAGTCTATGGTTTTCTCACCTCACCAGCTGGGGGTCCAAAAATATCTGGGTAAAATTTAAATTGGCAAAGTGAATGTGCTCAGAGAAGACCTTAAATTCGTCCTCCAGTATTAGGAAAACAATGCCCTCCCCCATGGGAGACCCTGCCTGTTCTACCTGAACCCTGTGCTGGGGGGGTGGGAGAAGGCTGGGGGAATACTGGTGATGATTCCAGTGGATGACAAGTTTCTCAGTGGTCCTCAGGTGCCCAGACAACATATTTAAGATGCATGTGTCCAGGGTCTAGTCAGATATATTAAGAGCTCCAAAGTTTGCATTTTTGTCTCAGCAAGTTTTCAGAAGATTCTTGGGAGCCCCTGGGGGTGTGACCACCAAATCAAGGAAAGATATCTTAGAGAAAGCCAAGACCATAGAGCTCAAGATCTTACAGGATGGACACGCTGGAGTGGTTAGAAGTTCTGACTATGGAAAATAATCTAGAGATGAATTGTTGGTGGTTTTAACACTTACCTACCATCTTGACAAATAATGCCTTGCAAGTTTGAGAAACTAAGAAAACAGAAAAGACTAAAGTGATGTCATAAGGGCATGAGGATAAAGCCACACAAACATCCTGCGTGGGTTGGAGTAGGGACAGAATGTCAACGATGAACATGTGGTTTGGATCAGGCCATTGTTTGTAGTTCTGTGCATGTCTTATCAGTATGAAACTTGTTAAATTGACCTTTTTAAAAAGGTAAACTGGTGGGTATGGTGGTACATGCCTTTGATCCCAGTAAACCGCAGACGAATCTCTGTGACTTCAAGGCCAGCCTGGTCTACATAGCAAGTTCCAGGCCAGCTGGGGCTACAGGGAGATCCTGTCTCAAAAAGACTGGGGAAAAAATAAAAGAAAAAAAGAAGAGTAAACTACAAGATAAAATTTTCTCCAAGTTGTGGTCTTAAGATATATATTTTCCCCATTATCACCTATGAAGTCAGAAAGGTATGTACAGTTTAACCTTCAATAACTTTTTTTCTTTTCTAATCATATAAAAATGATATTTCATCTTACAGTTGATGCTGTCCTACAGGCAATGAGAGCCAGTGCTTGCAGAAACTTTACTTGAACCTCAACTTAAAATGCTTGCTGATCTTTTGGTTATTTTTATAAAGTTTAAAAGTATCCAGTGTTTTCAGAATTAGTAAGACAATAGAATGTGTATTGTAAGCCTTGGTTGCAAGAATGTGGATTACAAGCTTGGAGGCTTGGAGAACTGATGCTGAGTCTGGAAGGGCTAACAGATGCCCCATGGCATGGGACCCTTGCAGGGTGACCAGACATAAGAGAGGCAGGCACAGAAGGGGGAATCTGCATTTCCATGTGGATAGGGGTGAGAGTGCCTGTGGAGCTCCTACTCCTCATTCCCACTTCCACTTCTCTCCTGGAACCAGGAGTCTGAGGGGCCTTGTTCTTTGACCTCCGTTCACATTTTAAGGGAGCATTCAGCCCACCTGACTGCCTTGCTGACTTCTTTAAAATCATCCTGACTTTGGAGACATCTTGGTCATGGTCTCCTCTGTAAAGGAAAGTGGACTTGGATTTTTAGGTATTATTCTACCCAAGTCTGCAGATGAGCCAGCACTGTCCCAGGAAGTTTGGTTAGACTGTTGTCCAGCCCGTGGTGGTGCTTTTCACAGAAGAGGAGCAATGTGAACAATGGTGTGAGTCTATCAGGTGTGAATGAGGGTTGTTCAAGGTGAACCAGGATGCAGCACTACCAGAGTGTAAGGTCCCCCTCCTTGTGCAACACTGTACAAAGGAAATAAAAGAAGAGGGCTTAAGAACTGCCCTGAGCCTGTGCTCTGGTTTTTTATCATGCAGACAGGTTCTGCCCTCCAGAGCATTTCATCCACATCTTTGTTTCACGAGGCCCAGGAGAGAGTTGCAGACAAAGGTGTGTGGTGACTGTCAGTGGGCCCCACCTGGGCAGATGCCAGCCTACGTTATCTCCAACACCCTCTCTGCCTTCTTGCAGACATACAGTGTAGTGAGGAGGGAAAACAGTGCCAAACCTTTCAGTGCTGAGAAATGTGGCCTCATGTGGACAAGATCCAAGAGAGGAAGGGCATTAAAATCAACACAGTAGTTCCTCTTCTCTCTGGTGTCAGACTTCTAAGAGCATTTCAGTAAAACTTCAAGGATTTTGACCAGTGGCCTTACAGGTTTTACATGCCCAAATCAACCTGAAGTTTGGAATTATACTGGATTAAATGAAACTTGTATGCACAAAGCCATAGAACATCACAAACTTAATATGCTTTTTTATCTCTTATAGAAAGAGTAGGAGTAGCCATTATCTTATTTGGATCCTGTCTCAAGTTAATGTAAATGCTGGCCCCCGGACATGTCCCTGTCTTTGGCTGTTCTCTGCTCACAGCTCTCTGCTTCCTGTCTCCTGACCACCTCTTGAACTATTAGTACAGGCTGCAACTTGGAGGATCCTTCGCCCCTCCTCTTTACTGAAACCATGCCCCATATAATTGCATTACACACAGCCTGCTGTGCCCCATCTGCCTGGAACTGCTTGTAATCCAACAACTGGGGTGACATAGTGGCACAGAAGCATGTCTGTTTATGCAGTATACTACGTACGCAGGAATATCTGTCACACCCATGACAGTGGTCTGCTCTGGGCAGCTTGCTTGAAGCAGGAGTGGGTAGAGCTTCACATCCTCACATGACAAGGCCCTTCCTGCTATTCCATGGCCAGTGGCTTCATGGGCAGGATCTTGTAGATTCCTTCTATTCACAATCAGCCTCAAGATTGCTTATTATTCTTGCCGGTTCACATTGAGAGTCTCGCAGCCCTCCTGCAAGCTGCTTGCTTCCTTCTCTAAGGGCTCACACACCCCTCATTTGTTAAATGCCCTGTAAGGGAGATTACTCATGATTTGTATCATCCTGAACACAAAACGGGGCAGTTTAGGATATAAAATTACATTTCTGTGTTAAATTTATTTACCATCTCAGTCATCCATAGGTGATAGATGATGATTGATAGATAGATAGATGATAGATAGATAGATAGATGATAGATAGATAGATGATAGATAGATAGATAGATAGATAGATAGATAGATGACAGATAGATATAGATGATAGAAGATAGATAGAAGATAGATAGATGATAGAAGATAGATAGATAGATGATAGATAGATAGATAGATAGATAGATAGATGATAGGTAGATAGATGATAGAGAGATAGATAGATAGATAGATAGATAGACAGATAGATAAATGATAGATAATGCTAACGTCATCAGTATTTCTGTTTCATACTCCTTTATGTTATATATTCATATGACTTCTGTCTTGTCCTTAGTACTGTGAAAACCAGACTTCTGAGCTTGTCTTCAGACTTTCCCTCTTGGGCTCTTACTCTGAGGCAACACTGCAAAGTGTTCTGCCCTTCCTGGGTCTGTGAACTCCACCCCACTCAGGTCCCAGGTCCTCAGATTGGCTGGACAGCCCCGCCCTCTGTACTTAGATCTCCTGTAAGTGCCCCACAAGAATGTTTCCTTCCTGTGTCTTCTTCCCATTGCTTCAGCTCTGAGCTTCTGCGGCAGTAACATCCATAGTTCCCTCCCATGCTCCCTGCACAAACACTTGGGTGACAACCCAGAGGGGATTTGGAGTCTTGGGGCATTGTGACTCTTGGTTGTACAGGACATAGCTCCTTGTCCCACCTGCCGTTGGCTGCTTTGCAGGAACCAAGCTCAACCTGTGCATGAGTGTCTGGTCCCTCAACCCCCTTGCTTTACCAATTACCAGTCACAAGGCCAGAGAGGCCTTCTGCCAGTGTGGCGGATTCTTTGTCTTATACTTTAAAATCTGGCTTTTTTCTAGACTCTGTCAATAAAGGATGGTTTGAGTTTAAATAAATTCTTTCTTCTTTCTCAGTTTTTCTTCCTTTTCTTCTTTTCAGGAGCCTGTTCACCTTCTGGCACAGGGTAGTTTTTTTCATAATGAGGATTTAACTACAATACATGACATGACAACTTAAAACCATCTCTGTATTTTAACAGTCCCCTGCCCTGTGTCAGCCTTTGCTTAGGAATCCAAGAAAATTGAAAATATGTTTTTATGCTTCCACAGGTCTTAGTTGAGGGTTTTATTCAAGGCAGTGTGAGAAGAATGTTCACAATGGCAAAGCTAACTAAAGTGCAAATGTCATCTGCAAGGCCGCTCTGTTGAATGGAAGGGAAGAGGCATCAAATGAATGTCTCAATTCAATTTCTCTGTAGATTCACCGAGGCCTGAAAAGAGGGAGACCAAGTGCCCCATCCCTGGGTGTGATGGCACAGGGCATGTGACGGGGCTCTACCCCCACCATCGCAGCCTCTCTGGGTGCCCCCACAAAGTGCGGGTTCCTCTTGAAAGTGAGTACTTCCTTTCCCTAAACCATACAGACACCTAGACACCTTCTCATATGCATCACTACTTTACAAGTTTGCCCTCTTTCCCTTCAAACTTCTAATTAGAAATTCGAACATAATTTTATCTTCATATGTCAAGCAATTTCTATCTAGCTATGGGTTTTAAATTATAGAATATTCAGAAACTTGAGGAATAGTAAAGCCAAGAGATCAAGAGACATTTGCCATTGAAAAGATAAAGCTTATTACCCATAGTCTAAACGGTGGGTTCTCACCACAACACCTGGTCCGTGGGAAATCTTCATGATGCAAGGGCGGGATGAACAGTGGGTAAGAGTCCCAGTGTGCTTCTGTGGAAGGATCAGCAAGGCAGGGTTCATCTTTGGTGTAGGTATGCTCCTAATGCTCTGATTCCTGACCCTGAGGTAATTAGGTCAAGGGGAGAGTGGTCCAGAATATGAGATAGCTGGGGTGTGGGCTACAGAGTGGTTGGTGGGCATTTTAAGAGGGTGCTTAGTGGACAGATGATATATTGTCTCTGTGAATTGACTGGCCCAAAGAAGAGCATTCCCCACACACACCGGGTCACCAAGGCCCCAGAGGTCAAAGCATCAGAGCATAGAAGTCTGCATTACCGCTCATCATGCCTACGTGGGCCTTCCTTAGCCTGACACAGCATCCATACACAGAGGTTAGGTTATAGCCTTGTGAATCTCAAGGACCACCTTCTCCTGGCCTCCCCTCACTGTAGGAGCATGTTCCCCATCGTGTTCTCTCATATCACATCAGCTGAGACCCCCAGAGCAAGAGCAGCCCTTCACTCATCTTCCAGCCACAGCCCTGCTGTGACTGGACCTCAGAGGTGCTGGGAAGAACTGGCTGAAAATTCTGATATGCTACAAATTTTTAGTCTTTAGGACAGATCTTAGACCACTCGATGTGGCAGAAATGAGGACACCTCAGCATCACCCAGCTGAGTGTCAAAATCTGGCAAATCCGTAGTTCTCCCTACCCAGACTTGCTACTCAACAGTTCTTCAGTCTTACCTGATGCTTTGCTCAGCCTTACCCTTAGCAGTTGTCATCTAGCAGGAGAAAGCACAGAGACAGACACTAGATAACACCAGTTAGGTTATAAAAAAGACTATATGCAGAAATCCAAGTCATGGAGAAAGGATGGAAAGAGCTTCATCACAAACCAAATTTTCCACTACTGACCCAAGGAAAAGAACCAAGAAGGGAAAGGAGGGAGAGGAGCTTCTCAGTTCAGATTGGACAGGACACCGGGGCAGGTTTGATCCCCAGACCCACAAAGAAAGTTCATCCAATGTGAGCAGAGCCATCTTGTTTAAGGTTAAATATACCATGGCACCCAGAGCTATTAAAACATTTAAACAATTTAAACATTTAAACCCAGAGCAGTTAAAACATTTAAACAATTAAAACAATTAAAAAGCTCACTGGGTTTTGTTTCTGAAGTTCTCAGGTACTTTCTTGTTCAGTCTGAATATATATAGGGAGGGAGCATAATGGACTAAAACTGTATGGACATAAAATTGAGAAACAAATTTGTTGGTGTGCTATGTGTGTGTGGTGGGGAATTGTTCTTCTGTTTAATGTGATATTTTGTGCTTAGTTCTTGCCATGCATGAGAATGTGCTCAAGTGTCCCACCCCAGGATGCACAGGAAGGGGACACGTGAACAGTAACCGCAACACGCACAGGAGGTAATTTTGATGATTTGCTCATCTCTTTACATTACAAAAAGCAAGAGAAACTTGCCACAAATGCAGTAATGGGCCGTGTCTTGGGGAAAATCTCTGCATTGTTATTAAATGTTACTTCTTAAAATACCTGACAAGCAGTCTCAACCTGTACAGTCAAAAAGAAAGGAAAATCACCTCATTACACAGTTACATAAAGAGAATACATTCTATCCTTCCCTGGATCTCACCACCACACTCCGATATTAGAGGCTGACATCAGCATTCCTATGGCTTATCATGGATCCCACTTAATAGGCATTGAAAAGGTCTTCACTGTACAGTACAGAAGTTTTGGCTGTAAACATACAAGCATTAGATGTCATTTTATTAAGAGTGCAACTAAAAGAAAGCATATTTCTGTTATTTTATATTCAAATTTATGGGCTATACATGTAAATATTTTAAGTGGAATTTTTGTTTTATGTGCAAATTTTATATTACATGTAAATTATGTGATTATGAGGTACTGCCTGGTTTATAAGTATATTGCCCAAAGATTTCATATTCATGCCTTCAATTTAATTAGGGTAGAGAATTCAGTTTCTAAAATTTTGCTGAAGATCCTAAGACAAATCATGGAATTTTGCTAATTCATATAGTTAAATTGTGTGTAGAATTCCACTTAAAATACTGAGTTTTAGAATCTTTGGCTATCTCTCTGCTATGCAATAGTTTTATTTGTAAACTGTATTTACTGTTTGTCACCTCTGAGATGGGGCTAGGGAGCAAGTGCTGATACTGAGGTTTGCAGACCCCTTTGGGACCTTTTGTATAAGAATGGTGCTAGGTGAGCTATTACTATGACTTAACATTAGTGTGTGCCTGAGGGTGCTGTAGTGACATTGTTCACACTTGTTCTCTGCTTTTCTGTTTTGAAACAGTCTTTCTGGTTGTCCAATTGCTGCAGCTGAAAAATTGGCAATGTCCCAGGACAAAAATCAACTTGTTTCTTCCCAGACTGTACAGTGTCCTGATCAGGCCCACAGGTATGAATTCCCATGAAGTTCCTGACACCTTTTGTTCATGCTGGATTCTACCCAGCAAGGCTTCTTTTCCTGTGTGTCACTGCACTGTCTGCCTGTCATGCCGTAGTCACCAGTAGGCTGATGTGGACAGCATATTGGCAAAGCTAATCCAGTGAATGGTAGAATCATTTAAATGATAGAGGGGACACTCCAGAAGTTTAACCTAAAGTCCATCTCTTTGCAAAGGTAGCATGACATGGATGAACATAAAGGAGTGAAATAGCAGTTATGTGCATGTACATAAACAGAACTCTATGTCACTAATATGATACATCCCACAGACAGGTAGGCCCTGCTTTGCAACTGACTTCACCTTTTCTGCACAGAGGAAATTCTATCAGGAACTCTCAAAGTGAGTGATATTATGTGATGCCCTTCAGCTCCCTGTATTCATGGCGTTTCCACAATGGGTAGCTATAACAAAAGCGTCTCCATTGGCCCTTGAGCTCCCAGGAACTTCAGAATGTCTGAGTAGCTTGCAAAATATTATGTGCAAAGTATGTGTGTTGATGATTAATGTTTAAGCATTAAGTGCCTAATAAGTTTATTCTGCAAAAATCATGTATGCAGGAAAAGTTATTTGAAAATTAAGAAAGATAATCAAATAACTGTTAGAAATGAATTGCTGAAATACAAAAGCAGCTATTAGGCACTTTGGTATTTTCAGGTTATTCTAGTTTGCTTTCTGTCGTGATACCAAAAGCAGCTTGGGGAGGGAAGGGTTCCATGTACTTCATTCACAGTACATCTTTGAGGAAGTCAGGCCAGGGACCTGAAGCAGAAAACATGCAGGACCACTTCTTCCTGTCTCACTTTCTGGCTTGCTCAGCTGGTTTTCTTACACAGCCCAGACCCCCCTGCGTAGGTATTGCTCACAATGGGCTGGGCCCTCACACATCAACCACCAGGACTGGAGAGATGGGTCAGCAGTTAAGAGCATTGGCTGCTCTTGCATAGGACCCAGGTTTGATTCCTAGCACCCATAAGGTGGCTAACAATCATCAGTAACTCCAGTTCCAGGAGAATCTGACACCTTCTTCTGACCTCTGTGAGCATTACACAGTGTGGCTACGCTTACCTACATGCAGGCAGTACCCTCATACACAAATAAATGAATGAAAGAATGAATAAATAAATAAATAAAAATAGAAAAGAAAAAAGTTAAAATTAAAGAACAACAACAACAAAAAAGCCAGTCCTTGGCCACAGATCAGTCTGATCTGGGAAATCGCTCAACTGAGGTTCCCTCTACCCAAGTGACTCTAAGTTGTACAAAGTCAACAATAAAAACTAACAAGCACAAAATAGGGCTTTCCATAATATGTTGCTTCGATAAAGTCAATGAAAAGAATCAAAATTAACATTCGGATTTCATGAATGAAGAACATATGTCAAATGAAGACCATGAATTACTAAATAAATAGCACCATGGCCTTACTTATCCCAAAATGAAACTGGAATACTTAACTCACATTTATCTTGGAGTGAAATGATTACATCAAATAATGTGATATCCCCCCCGACACACACACAAAATAACAGCAATAAAAATGAGCCGGGCATGGTGGCATATGCCTTTAATCACAGCACTCAAGCCACAGAGGCAGGCAGATCTCTCTGAGATTGAGGCCAGCCTGGTCTACATAGTGAGTTACAGGGAGACCCTGTGTCAAAAAGACCAAAAAAGGGGAAAAAAGAAAAGAAAAATGAGCATACACTAATACAGTAATTTAGATAAATGTTGAAATAATTAGAATTCAATAGACAGGGTATTGAATGCTAATTAAAAACCTTCTTAGTGAAATTAGCACAGTGTTCAGGGTGAAAGTAGGGAAGATGGAGGAATACCCAGGGAGACTCTCCCAGCTCGAGTCAGGTTTTCTGCACTGCCTGTTGCACCATCTGCACAGTCACACGTCTATTCGCTGCTTATTTGATTGACTGTTTCATATGTGCACACCTTATCGGTGCCTTAATTCATGCTTACTGATAGTCGTGGGGGTATTTCTCTGTGGAGTGCAAACATTGGCCCTTAACAAGCTCTTCGTGAAAACCGAACATTCCTCTTTTACTGGGGATTGACTCTAACACAGAATCAGCAGCAGAAGCAGAAGCAGGCAGAGCCCACACATCGCTGTCTCAGTGCAGGTCAAGAGCAGGCAGGGTCCCTCTGCTCGGAGTCCTCACCAGCAGTTTCTTTCTGTTTCCCTTGAACTTCTTCCCACCTCTAACAGGACGAGTTTGGTGAAGCAAATCGAATTCAATTTCCGTTCACAAGCCATCACCTCTCCCAGAGCCACTGTGTCTAAAGAACAAGAGAAGTTTGGAAAAGTGCCATTCGATTATGCCAGTTTTGATGCACAAGTTTTTGGTAAACGTCCTTTCGCACAAACAGGGCAAGGACAAAAAGGACCACCATTTCCTGAATGTAAGCTTCAAATCTGAACCCCAGTACTCATCCCCTAAAATGCATCTTCTGGTGGGGGGGGGGCGTATGTGTTCAAATGTGTAATATGCTCCTTAGAAATGACAGGAGAGAATATGTAGTGAAATAACATAAGTGGATCATTGTCACTAATTTTACACTGATGTTACATTGAATTCGGTAAATTAATTATTTCACAGATACTGCCATTATTGAATCTAAGTACTGCAATCCTAAAGAAATACTTAATTCACATGTAGTTAGGATTGTGATTAATGTATTGAAAATATGACAGCTGTTATACTATGTTGTTTCTCATTTATGCTGCAGTAGTGGCAATCCGATAGATAAAATGTGTAATACCACCTAAAATATTATTGAAGGTAGGGAAAGCTGACAAAGCCAAGAAACTCAATTTGAGAATCTGGAATGTACTGGAAAAAAATATGCATGGCTGTCAAAACATTGACTGGTGAATCTAAGAATTAATATAGAAACCTTTAAAGCAGATTAAAGAATAGACTCAGTGACCCTTGAATATCCATACAGAAGACCATAACTGGAAGATGCTGCAACATACAATATGGTGGTCTTGCTTACACATTTCTCTGGAATGTTCTAATGAAAAGATGTAGGCTTTGGGAACAAATGAGGGAAATGATCAGTAATGTACCTTTAATAAGGAACAAGCTAAGTAATTACTATCCTCCATGAACAGTGAATCTTTTACAGCCTTACAAACCCTTGGAATCCCTCAGCCATTAACCCTAGACAGAACGGATATCCTGTGATTTGACCCATGCTTGCCTTTAGAAGGCTACCTAAGATCAGCTGCAGGACTGCAGAGGGAGCCCTTGGGTGGAGCACTTCCTGTGCAGATGCGTGGTTTTCCATCTCACTAGCCTCCTCCAAATACATCCAAAGACTTGAAATGAGGTTTCCCTTCACTGATAAGTATATAATTAAAAGATCTACCTATTCTTGCTCAAAATAGGTCTTAACCAATATAAGTAACCATTGACAACTTGTTAGATTCAGGAAAAAAAATATACACACATACATGTCTTTATCTAGCTATCTAATTTGTATAGATAAATACTGTGATTTTATCCATTTTATATGCACAATGTATACAGGAAATATGTATTTAATTCAGATGAAGGTAGTTAATGACAGTGCTTATATGACAGACTTATATGGGTATTGGCTTAAAACACTGTAATAGGGTCAGTGACATTTTCTTATTCTTGTAGTCATAAGAAGAATATTCAGTAATATTTGAAGTAAATGACACAATGCAAAACCGGTAGTTAAATGCTTTTATATCCTTACACCTTGAATGTTTCTCCCATAACCTTGAATGATACTCATAGTCACCCCCACAGTGAAGATAAATTTGTGTAACTCTGTCCTTCAGGAAAGCTGTGGTACAACAAAGTCAGCTTGCTAACTAAAAGGCCTTTCTGTTCACCTTGACAGCAGGTCCCCCAATCCTCTGCTTAGCTTGCTATTCCTGAATATGCAGAAGGCCAGCTCACTGAAGACGCCATCCCAGTTTTAAGTACAGAGCAAGACTGCATTCCAACTAATAAATACACTTCCGTGTCTAAGTATAAACTGTTGTGCAAACAGTTCCTGAGAGTATACATTATTTCTATAACTAAGTTACAGTTTTCCACATATATCATGCCCTAAGCTGACTGTAATCCCTGATGGGCTTGCTCCTGTGTTGTTTTTTAAAACACAATTTTTGCACAAATGTTGCCAGTACACCTGCCCCATAACATTAGTTATGGGGTTTTTGTCATCCAAAGTGTAAATACAAAAAGTATTAAGAGAGCAGGTATTCTCTCTAGCAGTCACATCATTTGCTCTATGAACCTTGGTGAAAACCCCTCTGAATAACCTTCATTGAACGTACAACAGATAATGGCTATGCTTTAATTTATTCTTCACATATTTTAATGCAAGAAGTTATATCTTTAAAAAGCAAATCTATTTAATGACTGAAACCACATCCATGCAACTGCTAATCAAATCTCTCTTCAACAGCAAAGCATTTTTCAAATCCAGTGAAATTTCCTAATCGGCTGCCTAGTGTCGGCGCCCACACACAGAGCGCAGGCCGAGCCAGCTCTTACGGCTATGGTCAGTACAGTGAAGACACCCACATAGCAGCAGCTGCTGCCATCCTGAACCTTTCCACCCGCTGCAGGGAAGCCGCAGACATCCTCTCCAACAAGCCGCAGAGCCTGCATGCCAAGGTAAGTCAGGCCAAGAGCCTGGAAAGTGAGCCAGTGACTGAGCCCTGAGAATGAACTGACTTCCCTCCACTGCACTCACTCACCGTTCTCACGCCCCACCTAAGTAGGAGTGAGCTTGACAGGTTCAAGGAAGGAAAGTGAACCTATCTTGGTGGCATGCCAAAGTGTCAGGAGAAGGGAGCTATCGAGACTGGTTGGGGAGAATTTCAGCCCTGTTCTTGTTATGGAGTATTTGGTGTACAGAAAAGAGGGCTCCTGTTAAAAATGCTGCAGAGGAACTTGTTTGCTGTCTGCAAATCAGAGATGTTAAGAAACATTTGATTAAGCAGAGGCTGATGAGACGTTTGCAGAACTGACCCACAAAGATGTATTGCCCACCTTACTGATGTTTAGCATGAGATGGCCTAGGTTTTACTGTTCTTGCAGGACACACAGTAAAAACGCTCAGATAGTAAGTTACCAGATTCAGGAGGCTTGGGAACTTGGACCATTCAATCCAGTATGAAATTCTGGAAACTTTGTGAACATTCTGCATTTCTCCTGAGATTAATCATATGTTTCAATAGCCTGTCCTTTCCTACTAGAGAAGTACACATTCAGACTCATGATTGACTTGATGAATACACACAAAGACCCTCCGTGTCTTGCCTCTCACCATAAGAGCATACCATGCTCGAGGTCTGGTGGTCCACAGGAGAGGCTGTGAGGACTTATTGTTCCTTGCACTGGATGACCAAAGCCACCTGACATAAAGTGCCCAGACTTAATTTGGTAGTAGATTTTCCCTTGCTTTAAATGGAAGATTGCCTGGGCCAACCTCAGTCCCTGGAACATTTGCAAGCCGTGACTTTTCCCTTTAAGAGAAGCCCCATCCTTGTGTGGTCAGCTGCTCACTGTGTTTGCCAGGCCTTCAGGAGAGCAGGTAATGCAGTGCCACCAAGCATTTGACAGAAATCAGAATTAGCTTCTGCACAGAGCTGAGCCAAGTAAACCCCAGGAAGAGTTGGTGGCCAAAAGCCACTCAGAAACAATTTTTAAACTAATGAGATTCTTAAACAAAGAAAAACACATCCTCTAGAAATACAGAGAAAATACCTAGCTTTCCAAATTCAAAAGGCCAGTCACAAATTATTAACACAGGAGAATGATTTGAGGGATTTTAAAAATGCAGCTATATACTCACATTTTAAGATCTGAATAATTTCTTGCCTTTCTGAAGGAATACTGTAATAATCATCTGCTTGCAGAAACACTCAAATAATGTTCCTTCCTACTGCTTTTCACTTGATTGTATAGACTGTCCTATAAGAATTGGAGGCTCACTGTTACAATTATCAGTATTAAAGTACTTGGGTAATGGTACTAGGATGAATGTTTTCCATCTCACATGTACATCTTATTCTGCTCAGAATTCTGCCTTTTGCCTTAAAATTCTGTATTCCATTAAATCACTGATGTCGAGGAGTGTAACACAAAGATGTTTTCTTTTAAAAAACACGTTTCTGATCAGAAAAGTGACTGTTTAATTGCCACATTTCAAAAATTTAAATAATTGGTTTCTAATATCTATTTGTCCACTCCTTGTGTCAGTGTGGCTCAGTGGAACAGTCCCAGTATGCTCAGGGCCTGCAGCCCCTGAACATCACAGCCCTGGCATGCTCAAGGCCACAGGACGCCCCCTTGTATGTCACAGCTCCTGCCACCACCTGCTGATACCAAGATGAGAATAGAAGATACAGAAAGAGCCCAGATCAACTTCCAGAAGAAGTAGATTGTGCCAGAGGTTTTCACATCCATTTTCCTCTGAGGAGTGCCTATCTGACACAGTACAATGGTTTCCTACCACATCATTCTGCCCAGTTCTGCTGGTGTGCCCATACCTCCAACTCAACTGAACCAATTTATAGAATTCCATCTTGATTAGAGCTTGTTTTCTGAATATAGAAGAGATTCTCACAAATCGTTGAAACAACTTGTTTAGCAAAAGTGAGAAAAGGCCAGGGCAATTACCCTGAAAACCAGCATCTAAGCAGACAGAGTCCTGGGTGGGCTTTGCTGTTGTCAGCAAGCATGAGATTAAGTACCGGCCTGCCCTGAGCATTGAATGCTAACCTGATTCTCCCTCCACTAGATTTTTTTTCTCTATGGCAAGCCATTAGTACTTTTATTTCTGAAAGCCCAAATCTACAAATCTCTTGAGTTTCTCATTTAGGTGAATGCAGAAATGCAGCTCTTCCTTCCTCCATTCCTCTGTAACTGAGTGCTCTCAATGTGAAGAGACATCCTGACAGGTGGCTTCATAGCTCTACCAACCAGGTCTCCAATTGTTGGGCTGCCCCCACCACAGGTCATACTCAGACCCAGAAGCTCCATGGCTTCAAAGAGTTTCCAGACAAGCAATGGGGCCACACTTGCCTTGGAGGGTTTCAGGTACAGAGTGGGTGTGTGGAGGCCAGAGCATGTTTGAGTAGCTTCACAGGGCATTCCCCTCAGACGGTAGATGACCGGATTCTTCCCTTCCTCTTGCTTCCATTCAATCCTTGTGTGCACTCAGCATCTCTTTATGGCACCAGTCATAGAGTTAATTAAAGACTACACTGTGACCTATGGGCCAAAGCACACCAATCTTAAAAATTCCCAAATATGCCCTTGAGGCTGATACAGATTTTTTTTCTGCAAGCACACAACTGACTCCACATTCAGTAGGGGATCTGAGTCAGTGATCTGCAAAAGAGCTGGGATTGTTTTCATAGGGACAAAGAAACTTTGACTTCCTACATGGTATAAAAATACGAAGGACAATGCAGATATTTGTCTTGCTCTGCACATTGCCATTCACTTAACCATCCAGTCTCCTCCACACACCAGGTACACACCATCTTCTGCGTAAAGAGCATTCATTCATGTCTACGCTGATTGGTCATTTCCCAAACCAAAGCCCACCGTATCTGGAAAGTAGATTTTGGAAGGAATTCTTTATGTTTACAATGCTCTCCATTCTGTATATAACTTAACATTGGTACCACCAAAATCTCTTGTATAATTTGTACTTTCCATTATTTTGTCAGAAATACTAGCTTTCTTTCATTTCCAGTACTTTTGTTGGTTTTAAGTTGTGGAGAATGTCCTCCATTTAAATTTGGAATTAATATGAGCTTTGAAACATAAATTGGCCACAATTTTACATGCCTTGAAGCTCTTTTGCCTAGAACTGGGACTTCTGATAGGAGCAGAGAGCCCTGGGTACAGGTAAGCAGGGAGTGAGCATCGTGAGTTTGTTGGGCACTTTCTGCCAGTGCCCCTGAGTGCGGTGCCAGCCTGTGGCAGATACACCCCCATTTTCCTTCTTCCCACTCTGGTCCACCGAGGTAGAACACGCTTCACATTCTATCTTTATCCTCATCACTACTGCTTGCCAAGAGTTCTGTTATTTGTTTTGGTGTTTTCTCCACCTGTTTAGACAAAATGACATATGCACAGTGTGCCTTAAAAGAAAACAAAAAATTGACACTTACTTGAAATGTTTAAAGTTCAAAGTCTGTTTTTACTTGAATGAGGCCTAGAAACAATATGATGCCACAGGATGTGCTGCCTGCTCCCAGGAGTAGCCTGATGGCCCCTGGGTGATTGGAACCCAAACAAGGCTATAACATCCAAACAGATTGTACCAAACATTGGAGTGAAACATGGTGAGGGTCTTGGGGCAAGAATATAAGAAACTGACTGGGTAAGTGTATTGAAACTAGATACTTAGTAACTGGCTCCTAGCAGGGAGTAGTGGTGCAGCCTGTAAACCCAGCACCAGAGAGGCTGAGGCAGGGGGGATCATGAGTTTGAAGCCACCCTGGCCTACATAGTAAGACCCTCCTGCCTCAGAATAAGTAAATAAATGAAAGATTGAGTCTTTGGTCCCATGAACAGTATGGGGTATAGCTTTTTGAGTATTGAGAAAGCCAACTAAATTGTTATTATCTATAATTGATTATGGCTATACTACGATGGAACACCTACTGTGTACCAGGTACTTTTCACAAGCACTCTGACCATATGAATCATTTTCAGTCCATCTAGAAACTGTGAAGTAGGTAATATTTATCCATTTTGCAGATAAAGAAGCAGTGTCACAGAACACTGAATAATTTTTCTCTGAGTCACACAGCAGTAATTGTTGGAACTGAAATTTCAACTCATCCCTGGTTTACTTCTTTTTTGAAAGACCTTGAGGCACACAGACTGTCAGAAAGCTTGTAAGCCTCAAGTTCAAAGTCTGTTTCTCCTTGAAAAGACCTAAAAAGACCTGGGAGGAATGGTTCTGAATTTCGTTTAAATTTCATACCTTGGGTTAGTCATTTCTTGTCTGTATCATTTTGTTTTAGTAACTATATTTCATGTGTTTATCATCTTAATAGTGGTAATAATCAGTCCCACTGAATAACAGAGCGTGGTAGGAATGCTATGCTGCTCCTGTCTTCAGTTATGTAAGCACTTCACCTCAGCTATGCAGACCTCATAATTGTCACCTCACTGATCACATAATGCTCCATGTATTAGATGTGCCATGATTTCATTGATCAGGTTTCTGCTGTTGTGCATGTAGGTCGTGTGCAACATTTATCTTGTAGGACATAGGAAGGTTACAATCAATAAATCTGTTTTCAACTTAACAATCATTGATAATATGTGTTGTTACCTTTCATTAAAAAATATTATACATAAACTAAGCACTTGAAAGCTAGAAGTCTATTTTTCAATTTCTCTTTTCTCCAAAATATAGTGTTAGGATTATAGTAAGCACTTCCTTAGTAATTTAATGAACACATCCATAGCAGTAGCATTGATAACTCAAAAGTAACTGAAATAGATGGTTTTCCCTAACCCTCCCAAGTTGAAAAGAATATGAATACTATTGGGCCTACTACCAGCCCCAAGAAACTTTAAGTATGAACACTTAAAACAAGGATCTGAGTAGCTCTTTAGAAATCCAAGTGTTAGGGGTCCTGGGAGAGAGGAGCCACCTCAGCTGGACCCAGCCCTGCCCTCCTGCCAGCCTCTCCCACCTCCCAGTTTTCCGTGATACCATTTGGAGTTTGAAACAGAGAAGTGATGCCTAGTGATATTGCTCTGGAAAAAAAATCCATGCTGTGAATGTGAGATCTCCATCATGGGCAGAAAGGGCCCTCTCTGTTGCTGTGTAATTGTTGTATGCATCTGTGCACTTACTTAAAGCCCATCTGTACCCCCATCCCCAGTGTGCTGCGTCCCTCTTCCCAAAGTCAGGTGTTCCAAGCAGCCGGCTGGGGCACATCTTTCAAACATTAGGAGTGATTTTTTTTTTGTCCAATCAAGCACTGATTACTTAAGATATATAGTCATAGCAATTCCAAGAATCTCTAATTTTTAATGTACTCTTTAAAATTCTTTTTCTATGTAAACTAAAATATATATGAGCTTAGTCTTGGAATAGTTGGTATTTTTCAGAGCTCAAATCTGCACTATTTATGGGTTTTGTGCTATAAAACTCTGCAGCCCAGTCACATGGCTTCTTTTTCCTAAGCCATCTGTCACAGAGGTCTGGAATTTTATGTGAATGTTGGTTGTGCAGTCTTAACCCAAGTTTTTTTTTTATGAAAAATATCAGCAACTACAATATTTAGTATTTTACTTTACATTGGCCATTAAACTTGATTACTATAGCTCTGTTTCATTGCTATAGTTACATATCAGCTATAAAGTCCGAAACTGCTTTGATGCCTGATGCAGAATGTATGATGAGATCGTGGAAGGAAGGAGTCAGTGGTACTGATAGAGTTAACATCTTGGGTATATTTGTAACTAAGTTTTATTAATACTGGTATAAAACGTATTTGATATTTATACAGATGGCATAAGATGTTGTGGTTACTATGTTATTATCCTGGATAAGCCGTAATGTCAAATTCCAGGCTTAAAACTATCACAGGAGATTAAACTATTTACTAAAAAGGGACAGAAAGATAGAGTCAAAGCATCTCAGTATACCGTATTAGAAGTGTATTTACCTCTCTCAAATACAGAGCAACATATCCAGCTGGGAAGCTAGAGACCAAAAATATGAACTTTGCAAGTAAAACAAACCAAAAACGAGAGGGACTTCTATTTTTTTCAATCAGGCACAAGCAGCAAGTCTAACCCCTGTAGCCAAGGCACCATGCTAAGAAGAGGGCATGAAAAGAGGTGCTGAAAACACATGGCCTGGGCAGTCACTGGTGACTACAGGGTTAGGCATCTTGCTCATGTATTCCTAGTCTACTTTACCAACCAGAAAGGAAAAAGAGTAAAGAATTTGTCAAGAAGTTAATTGCAAATTAATGGATGATGGTAGAAATATCAGAAGGGTGTTATTGTACCCACTTGGAAAATTGGTAGCCGTATTATTCTAGTTTGGGGAAGTTTTGGTAATGTTAACAATTCCATATAAGCACCTACAGTGAAAATCTTGAAGAAGAGCCAGACCACATGAGCCTACAACCGAACACAGAATGGATACTTTTCAAACTGAAACGTGCTTGGCCAAAGATGTCCCAACGGAGATCACTACAAAGTCCCATCAGTGTTGTCTCACACTAAGTACTAGAAAATAAACACCTTCATGCTGAAGTCTTCATTACAGAACTTGAACCCCAAAGGCCCCAGGGTGAAGTGCGGTTTACTCAGAGTGCCCCTCCCTTCCCAACCTCCATAGTTTAAAAACCATTCCAGGGGCTAGAGAGATGGCTCAGTGGTTACGAGCACTGATTGCTCTTGCAGAGGACCCGGATTCAATTCCCGCTCCCACATGGCGGCTACAAACCGCCCTCAATCCCAGTTCCAGGGGAATCAGAAGCCTTCTTCTGACCTCCGTGGCATTGCACGACACAGGTACACTCACATGCATGCAAGCAATACACTTGTACACATGAAATAAAACTAAGAAATAAAATATATATATTTTTTAAATGCCAGTTCAGAAGGCTCAGGGTGAAATGTGACTTCCTACTGCTCTAATGTTCTGGTAAAAAATTTCTTCCAGCAGCTTATGTTTGCATGTTTTTAATGTCAGGTTAATATTATGATTTAGGGGATTGGGATGTTATATGTGACTTTTGCTAAATACAAATATCACTGTTTAAAGTGATGAGTTTGAAGTGTTAGTTCCATCGGGTAGAGAGAATTTAAAGTTAAACATTAAAAATATGCACAAAGAGCTGGGCATGGTGGCACACACCTATAGTCCCAGCACTTGGGAGGCAGAGGCAGGTGGATCTCTGTGAGTTCAAGGCCAGCCTGGTGTACAGAGTGAGTTCCAGGACAGCTGGGGCTATAGAGAGACCCTGCTTCAAAAAGACAAAAAAAAAATGCACAAATATAAAACAGTTTAACCAATATATTTAGCATTTAGAGCATCTTATTTGAATTAAGCTTACTTTGTTTAAACCCAGAAATATGAAACACATTAATGGGGCTGTTCTTAAAAGTCTGCCTTAAGAATCAGACATTACCCACTGCAAATCAGAAAGCTAGATTTAAAAGCAGATATACTTCCATAAAAGCTTATATTTAAAATTATCCCTTAAAAGCCCACATGGCTAGGCTCTAGCTGCAAACTGCTTCGATGATCTCTGTTTCTCTTTCTGTTCTCTACAGGGAGCTGAGATAGAAGTGGATGAAAATGGCACATTGGACTTAAGCATGAAAAAGAATCGAGTGCTGGACAAGGCTGCACCCCCAGCTTCCTCTCACAGCACCATTCCAACCCCATCTTCCTCCCCACTCAAAGCAAGCAACCTCCTGGTCAATGCTGCCTTCTATCAGGCTCTATGTGACCAACAAGGCTGGGATTCTCCCATCAACTATAGCAAAACCCATGGAAAGACAGAAGAGGAAAAAGAGGTATTGTGCCAGTGTGTCAGTCAACTACTATTTTCCCCTAAATTATTTTTCACAATAATTTTAAATCTTGATAAAGTAATGGCTTAAAATTTCAGATGAAATTTATTAATAAACTCAGCTTTTCACATCACCTGCCTAAAAAAATGTGTTGTTATAGTGAGGTGGGTTTTTTATTATTATTATTTGTTTGTTTTGAGCCAGGGTCTCACTATGTATCTCTAAGTGGCCTGAAACTTGCTAGGTAGACCAAACTGGCCTTGAACTCTTGCCCCTGCCTCCAGAGTGCTGGGATTAAAGGCCTGGGTTTATAGTGAGTTCTATTCTCACAATGGTGGCAGTAGTCTACACTTCATACAACAGCCTGTAAGGAGCAGTGCACTGCTCAACACTGGAAAGCCAGCTCAATAATGCTGTCTGAACCAGGGGGGTCAAGGTGAAATCCATCAGAGACAAGAATCTTAGAATCATGTCAAAGCCATTCCTTTGGTTTCGTGAAGGCCCTGTGTTGGCATAACTGTAGAAAGTCATTGGCAGATCAAAAATGTTGGATGGCTAAGTCATATCAATGCCCAAAGTCCAGGAGGTAGATTGAGCATTTGATGATCTCTGAGGTGGCTTCATCCTGTAAGCCACAATTTGTAACAGGGTAGAAACCTATCAGGCCCTCATCTGTGTAGACTTGGCCTAAGTAGCCATGGACTACTTAGTGCCAATTAAAAGATTTGACAGCAGGGCCCCATGTTTATGCCCTACATAATTGTAGAAGTTACCTAGGTGATGGCAGAGAGTGATCCTATTTGTTTTTTGTCAGAAAAATTGTTGATAGCCTTTCCAGGTGATGTGTTTAAAGGATTGAAACATACATTCTCTGAAGGCATAGGCGCCATCTTTTTCAGCTATTTGAATTTCAGAGACTTGAGGAGGATACGATTTGTTTTTGCTTTAATGTCTTAGGAGTGTGAATCAACATAGACAGTAGTGATCATAGGAACTGGGTGGCTTGCAAATTCTTCCTCTCTTTTCCCTTCCTTCCATCTCTCCTTCCTCTCCATACTTTCTGTGGCATCGCTGAAAGCAAGCAGTAAGATAGGTCCAGGAGACACAGTAGGGAAAAGGATTCATTTCTGCCATGCATTCATACCAGAGGCCAAATGTCTAATGGGAGGACTCAAAACCGAATGCTGTGATCGAGCAGAATGTAGCCAGGCATGGTGGCACACACCTGTAATTACAGCACTCAGGAAGCTGAGGCAGCATTGTCAGTTCAGGGCCAGCTTAGTCTACATAGTGAGATCCTGTCTCTATACACAAACAAAAGTGACACAACCGGACACCCACTGGTGGTCGGAGACACCCATCTGGAAGAACCCTGCTGCTCCTAAGAAATAAGATACTTGACACTGCTATTGCCTATACCTGGAGGATGAAGGGACTTACACAGTATCAGCATTCAGTTATACTGTATTCTACTGGCTTGTTGATTTTACTTTATTATGCCTGGCTTTTTTAAGTCGCTGAAGTACCTACAGATGACTTCACTGAATCTTTCACAATGCTGCAGGCAGTCTGTCCCTTATCTGACCAGAGTGTATCTCATTTTAGAGATTTTTAGATCTTTGCATTGACTTTATCAGTTTAAGAAATCCGAAATGTTCCAGAACCCAAAAAATGTGGGCGTCATATGGGTTGTTTGGAGTTTAGATTTTCAGATTAGGGTTGCTCAAGCTGCATTTTAGAGTAAACATTAAAACAGTTATGTATGTAGTGATAATAAATGTGAAATTTACATTACCTAATATAGGAAGTTCATTTACCTGCAGTGATGACACAACGCCCCCCGCCCATTGTGTTCTATATAAAGGAACCAAAGTGACACCTCACTGTCATCTACAGCTGTCTGAAGTGGAGCTGATAAGGTAGCAGAAAGGAGGGAGGCACAGTCACAGTGAGGTCAAGATTATTGACTCAGACCCACAACATACAAATTGGCTTTAGAAAAAGGAGAAATCTTCCAACTTATAAGACTTTTGTCTCCAGCCAGTCGACTGCCAGTCAGATCACAGCATGTGGCACCTGATCCTCTAACGGAAAGCTTCACACTGAGCACAAGGTCTGTGGACATGAACTGAGTCCAAGTCCTCATGTTTCAAGGGGAATACTACTTTTAAAAGCGGCTACAACTGCATCTGGTTATTGTATGAGCCACAGGATCAAAATCCAAGCACGTTCTGTTAGCTTCGTGCCACGTGCTGAGAGGCTGCTAGGCTTTCTATTACTGTCCACATAGCCATGTTGACTGTACATTGATGAGAATATGCACCAGAAACTGCCCTGATGTCTGGGTGTCCAGTGTTATACAGAGGAATGTGATGATCCTGGGAGGTAATGAAGCAAATGTACCCTCAAGTGTGTTCTCCTTTTAATGTAGGCTTTCTGGGTTTTTTGGCAATCATACACTTTTTTCTGTCTTCAACCACAAACCACAATGTCAACCCAATGGTACACCCTTTATATTCTGAGACCCCTCTCTGACCATCTCCTTGTTCAGTAGGTCAGAAAATGAGTCTCACAACATTTCAGCTTTACTTTCCAATCTTTGGCAAAATTTAAAAAAAAAAAAAGTAAGCATCTGGATTCATCTTGACAGTATAGGCTAAATTGGTATATGTCTTTCCTACTGCAACATACATTTGTGTTTCTTTGCTCTGCTCAAACACATATGCACACATACTCATACACACACACACACACACACACACACACACACACACACACACACACACACACACACACACACACACACACATACAAAATGAGTTTCTTTAAACCAGATTTTCAGAGTGGATTACTTGAGGTCTGAAAGGATGGCCTTTCTGCCAGTTCCAACCTGAGTATTCTGAATCTGGAATTTAGAAGCTATGTTGGAATTCAGTGCCACTGACAGTGTCAAGGAGGACTTTGGGGATGCTAAGTGTTCTTGCACTCAAGTGCTTGCCCTAGGTAAGCTAGATGCTTCTTTCATAGCTGTCTGCATGAGGTCATTCATTGCTGTAGAAGCTATAGTGGGTGGGGACACAAACAAAAGTGCTGAATCCTTGCAAATCCCTGGTATAGTTTCTTACTCTTATTCTTCAAAGGTAGCCTTTGAACAGAGAGTATTTTTCACATCCTTTTCTGAATCTTAAAGATGACAAATATGAGTCTCACAGATATTATTTTGAAAAGGTATATTATATTCAGTATCTTTGTTTGGAAGGCATCAGAGGAATACCACGTGCAGTAAGCACTAAGACTCTATACCATGTCTCATTATCCCAACTGTGAAACAAGATGACTAACATTTCTAAAGAGAAATTGATAGTTGGGGAGGTGTACTCGTTGGTCCTTGCATTACAAAAATTAAGTAATGGGCTTGAAATTCCCTAAAACAAAGAAAAGGGAAAGTGGGAAAATGCATACAAGGAAAAGAATACAAAATAGAGATTGTTTAGAGAATATTAAGAAAAATTAGAAAGAAGAAAGAAAGGAAGAAATGAAGTTTGAAGAGATGGTTTGTGACAAGGTGTATGGAAACTACCATTGTCTTCGGTGCCCCAAGGATGTGGACCAAAGTTTGCTGCCCAGGCAAATCTCTTTAATGTCTGAGCAAGGAAGCTAGCTCCAGGACTAGCTTGTTCTTGTTGCTTTGCTGTGAAGTGGCCAAGGATCACTGCATGTAGCCCAGCAGTTTATCATGACTATGTGAAGACCTGAATGTCTTTCTTCCCCTTTCCCCACCTCAAGCACTCATGCCACCAGAAATTGAGTGATTATTTCTAATTCATTGTTATCTAGTTCATATGCACAACAGTTGCTTAATTTTGGTGGTAATTTTCAGAAAATATTGTCTGTCTCTCTCAGTGAAATAGGCTGTCCAGATGCCCCCTAAAAAAAAAATTCTGAATCTGGAAAAAACTCAAAATATCTCGAAAGGAAAGTACTGAGAACTAGGGCTGTCAGCTTCATTCAACTGTCAGTTCTCCAAAGATTTCAGGGCTTAAAATGTTAAAAATGCCAGATGCTATTATCTGTTATTCATGTTACCGTTATGTTCTGGTCTTTACTGAAATCAATATAACCTTCCATCTGTACGTTAAAGACTCTCATTGTGCTCTCTCTCTCTCTCTCTCTCTCTCTCTCTCTCTCTCTCTCACACACACACACACACACACATTCTCTCTTGCACATCTTACACAAGATAAAGTCATTATTTTCAAAATGAGACTTTAAGTTTGGGATAAAATGTTTACAGACACCATCAAATTATTCTACATTGGGCATTGTTTAGGAATTCATCCAGTGTAAAATGCTTCTGTAACATCTCATCCAAGAATTCTTTTAGCAATGGCCACCTGTATTTTGATATGCACACTTTCTCTGCAAGCTTGTAGAGAAGAATGTTAGAGTAAAGCAAAGGGGGGACTAGAACCTTTTTCAGACAAGTGCATGCTTGAGTCTATAGTTTTAAAAAGTTATGAAATATTTAAAAGGCCATTACCAATTAACCATACTGTTAAAACATTAAAACATATTACCATGTCAAAATAAACATATTTAGCCAACACTTCTATATGCATTTTAGTCATAATAATTTGAGCTCTAATGTTTGCTGTTTCCTTAAAAATCCCTCCATTCTCCCACCTTCCATGACATCCAGATTTAGTCCTCAAACAACCAGAAAGGTTCCTATGTATAAATGGACCTGCCTTCTGAGAGGCATCGTTCTCAGTTTTAGCATAAGGAAAATAATTAAATGCCTGCTTTTACTTCATGCCACTTTTGTGAAAATTTAGCATCTAAGTAGAAAAATAAAGGCTCTCTCACAGAGGGACAATATTGGTTTTAGCTTTTGCATTTACTTCCCCAAAGCCAAAACATTTCTAATCTGGAATGAAAACTGCTACCTAAACCCAATACAGACTAGAGTGCTCATAGAATGGGTTTAGAGCTCTAAATGGGTCCTTTCACTAAGTCATTTGCATAAGAAAACTTTAAAAGTATACCTTCATTCACCTACCTTGCTGCTGCCCATAGTGTTGAGGTGCCATGAAATAGCCTTTCTCTGTATCTAGTACACAATGAAGCACATTTCATTTCAAATATATATGTTTGGTCTTTTTGAGACAGGGTCTCCTGAAGTCCCAGCTGATGTTGGCCTGGAACTCTCTCTGTAGACCAAGCTGAACTTGAACTCCCAGAGATCCTCCTACCTCTGCCTCCCTGTGCTGGAATTAAAGTCGTGTGCCACCACGCCCGACTCAAATGCATATTTCTATCAGCTACTATTTTATCAGTAAAATAACATGGAATATTTAGCAACAAAAACAGTCTGAAAGAAGACATTGCACCACACAAGTGTGCATGGGATTGATGAATTGTCATCCAAATAATCAGTGAGAAAAATGATATTGTCCTGGTAAGATGAACAGTTAAGTCTTTTCATTTTTGGTTAATAAAATCTAGGGACTTTCTTCAAAACTTGCTTTTGAATGCAGCCTCAAAATTATTAAAAATTATATATATTATGCTATTAGCATGTTACAGAGATTTGTTTAAATTAGTGAGATTTACTTTGGGCATTTCAAAATAATTTTCTTGCCTTAAATACATCAGTATTTTCAAGACTTTTAATATTAGTTAATCTGATTTTAATATTAACTCTAGAAAGTGTTACAGTTACTAGACATAAGGTTCATGAAGAAAAATGAGCTAATTATGCAAATGAGGAGCATCTTCAATAGTTTTCTGTGAAATAATGTATCACTTGGTAAATAAATGATTTAGAGAAATGAGCTAGATGTGGTGGCACACTCCTTTAATCCCAGCACTTTATAGGCAGAGGCAGGTGGATCTCTATGAGTTCAAGGCCAGCCTGGTCTACATAGTGAGTTCTGAGAGAGCTAGGACTGCATAGAAAGACCCTGTCTGAAGAAAAAATAAAAATTAATGTTTTTCATGTGGGATCCAGATCAGCATCACGCATAAAAGGAGGCATGAAACTTAGTAATATACAGCAAGAAATTTCATCTAAAGAGAAAAGTAAAGAAAAACAGTGAGGTAAAAAGAATTATTCAGAAAAATGAAATTTAATGCCTGACTACTGAGGACTCAGCTCTTACACACAGATAACTTAGATCTTAATGACTTAGTGATTAGAATGAGGATCTGTTAACCTGTACTTACTTCTTCCTGTTCTATTTAAAACTCTGTGTGAATAACTTATCAGTTTTCCTTCTGTTTCACTACCATCGTAACAGCTGGATACGCAGACTATGATTCTCGGGTTCTTTAGGGCATATTTATTATATATTAACAATTACATGGTTCAAACAAATTGTCTCCGTATTTGCTAAGAAGTGAACTTTCTAAGGGTGTTCCTGTCTGGTTGTACCCTGCACTCCAGCCTTCTCTTTATTATCTTATTTAATCTTATATGAGTCCCGTGTGGTACTCCAGCTAAGTCTTCAAGCCAAATGCAATTTCAAGTCCATTCGTCTTTTCAGGGTCCCTAATGACTTCTTTATCTCTTTTTTTCTCCTTTGTTTTTCTTGCTGTTGTTTATTTTCCAGAAAGACCCTGTGAACTCTCTAGAAAATTTAGAGGAAAAAAAGTTTCCTGTAGAGGCCTCTATTCCAAGCCCAAAGCCCAAGCTCCATGCAAGAGATCTCAAAAAGGAATTAATCACGTAAGTGGTGTCCAGTCACCTGCTCCCAAAATTCTGCCATTAGGAGACTTAAAGTTTCACAGTTTTGATTCATAATATCCTGGTGTATATAGTTAAATTTAGAACTATTTAGGACAATTTGAACTAGTAGTAGTTGGATACCAACATGTACCTAAACTATGCACTGAACTAAGGGAAGCTTTTACAGATGTGTACATGGCAAGGTCTTTTGCTAAGGGAAGGAAAAGTCTGTTGATTTTAAAAAAATATATGAAAATGCCAGGTGTGGTGGCCATGCACCTTTATTCCCAGCCCATAGGCGGCAGAGGCAGGTGGATCTCTGCGAGATAGAGGCTACCCAAATTCACATTGACTTCCAGGTGGCCTGTCAAGGGAGACCCTGACAAAAACAATTTTAAAAAAAGAAAGAACATAACTCTTGAAGGTATGTGCTTTGGTCACAGATTCTCAGCTGAGATACATTGACCCCACAAGGTCTTAATCTCTGCTTTGAGAAACCTACTAACCTTGAAACGCTGTGCAATTTATGGCTTGGGTAAGGGAGTGAATGGTTTTCCTTACACCTTGGGCTTTTGTCTCAGAATTGTTTAAAGAGTAGTTACCCTGATGCAAACATTAATGCAATGCAAACATGTATCAAAGTATCACCTGTGCTCTGTGTCCTTCAGCTTGCTGTCACTGCTACAAAGTACCTGCTATCATAGGAGGTTGATTATGGCTCATGGCTTTAGGGGTTTCAGCCTGTGGTCACTTTTCTCTGGTGCGTTTTGATCTGTGAGGAGGCAGAAAGAGCATCATGGCAGGAACATGGTGGAGGAAGCAGCTTGCATCAGTGTCTAGGACACAAGAAGGAGGACCCCAGTAGCCTCTTCAGGGACACACCCCAGTGACACTGAGGTTTACTACCTCCCGGTAATACCATAGGCTGGTTACTGATCCTTCAGCTCATAGCCTCTGGGAGATAAATTTAAGATGCAAATCATGGTAACCCCTAAAAATGACAATTACTATGTGTCAATAAAAACAAAAGTAAAATAAATATAAACCAGGGCATACCTGAAGACAGTAAGTGCTACTTACGAATGCAGATGAGTGAGTGGAATTCTGGAGACAATTTGCCATAAGTAAATGATTGATAAATATTCAGCACATAGAACCATGCACAAATACGTGGGCAACTGCCAATTAATCAGCTTCCTTTCTACTTTGGAACCCACACCTCTACGCTCTCTGTGTCCCTTTACATAAGATATATTTTTTCCATTTAATACAAATGTTAAAGCCGCTCCTGAAACAGCTTCCAAGCAGACTCTCTTGGCCTCCCTTGTTTTTACAACTAAATTCCTTAGGAAGTGGCCAGTGGTGTGATCCTGAATCTTTTCCACTCTTATGGGTCCACCCAAACCACTGTCCTTATTAAGCTTTCTACCACCCTCTGACTTCCAATCTGGATGTTGGTACTTGAGCCTCCTGTTCCTGCTTGGTGGACAGAGGGTGCCATGATCACACCCTCCTCCATGAGCCATCACTCACCAGCCACACCTGGCTTCTGGGACCCTGCACCTGAGGACTTTCCCCACCTCCCTGTGATTCCTTCTTAGTCACTGCCCCCCCATGGTGCGAATACCTGCAGCTCAGTCCTGAGACCTCTTCTCCCCTCTTCCTACATGTACTGGAACTGCCACCCCCAACTGTGACCTCTAAAATACATCAGCTAGGCCACAGGAACAGAGAACTATCCACCCCCCGAACCCTGCCCCCTAGGTCATGCTATATCTTGTTTCCCATGCACACCTGTCTCAGGCCCTTACAATTGCTATTTCTTCTCCCTACAGTCTATAGAATGGGTGCATCCTCTTGACCCCTGCTCTTTCCTCCATTGACATTTGCCAGGGAGATCCTCTGTCTACTGCAGTTGCTCAGCACAAGTCTGATACTCCTGTCCTGCTTTCCAGATCTCTTCTTCACCAGCATTTATCACCACCTCACCAATTTGTACAAATTGTTTCCTCTCTGTTCTCTGTTGCCTGCCCCTCTTCCCGGGAATGAGGCCTGGAAAGTGTGGTTGTTTGCTTTTCTTCAGCTTCTGTTCTCTGCTTTGGCTATACCACTGGTGCATAATATGTACTACTGTGCTTCTTATATACCCAAACTGCATGCACAGTGACCTAGAATGCAGTGCATGTTTCAGATGCTGACCAGTGCTAAGTATGGGCTTTGTACAGATTGAACTTCTATAGAATTAGCAGTTTGCTGCCTCTACATGCAAGTGGCCTTTTTAGAAAACTTTTAAAAATTTTATATGTATGTGTGCATGCGCCTGAGTGAGTTTATGTAGCATGACAGACATGCAGATGCCTGTGGAGGCCAAAGAGGGTGTTGAATCCTGTGGAACTGGAGATGCAGGTTGTGAACCACCTGATATCGGTCCTGGGAACTGAACCCAGCTACTCTGTTAGAGTAGCAAATGCTATTAACTGCTGAGACATCTCTCCAGCTCCATTCAAGTAGCTTTTAAGTAAGTTTAGACACTACATTTTTTAAAGCTTTCACAGGCAAGCCTGCATGGGTCCAATAGTGTGCTGCTGTGTGAATTCAGTCTTTATCTGGGTCGTGGTGGTGTACACAACGTGACAAAGAGCACCATTTAAATTTCCCAGAACGTTTTCTTTCCAAAAGGCCACTTAGGATAGCCAGGTACTTATTCCCACGTGGACCTACTGTTTGAGCTTGTTCATCATCTCTTAAACTTCCTTTCCACGTGTGCTTTTGTAATACCTTCAAAAATGGCAAATTTCTATCTTTTGAAGGTGGATTGTTAGAAATTGCCAAAAGTCATTACAAACTAAATGCTGTGTAAATGATTGATGATTGACCATTTGGGGCCAGAAAATGAAGCGAGATTATTTTGTAATGGACACTGCTCCTGAGTATGAAGGTAAATACAAAAGAGGAAGGTTTCCAAAGACCTTGAACAATGCTTTGGGTATAACCATGAATTCCTTGAAAGTTAAAAGACCTCTCAGGTGCCACATTCGGATGGGTATCCCTGGTGTATACACATCTGTTTTAGTGCATTTACTTCATAAATACCTGACTACTCAGTGACACTCTGTTTTTATTGTATTTCATTTATGTTTACAAGAGATGATAGAACCTTAATTGCTTATTAAAAACTGGTCAGAATAGAATTTTTAGTCTAACTGTCCTGTAACTTGCATAGGTTTGAGCACCAGTTACCAAGGGAATTAGTTTCATTACTTTGATTTTGGTGTTTTTATCTGTAAACCTTCCTAGAATATATCACCCAACAAGCCCTGGCACCTGGTCTGTATAATATATTTTCACGCAGGTTTGAATTTGTGCTAGGCATCAGAACCCGTGATACCAGAAACTTTCCCTGTTGTGGTGGTGTTACTATTGCTTTATATGCCTTTGACTTTTTTATACCACAAAGCTTTAAAAAAAAATCGGCTAATCAAATTTACATGCTCTTATTACATTTCATGGATAATTTATTTAAAATCAATGTAACTTCTTTGCCTCTTTGGAAATGTTAATGAGTGTAGTAAGAAACTGAAAAATAAAATAACACAATCCTTTTTGGAGCACCATATGGTAGTGAGAATTCCCAAGCACTTGAAACACCCCATCACCCTTTCAGTGTTCCAGTTGTATCATGTTCAGAGATGTTACTAAATGATTGTTATCAACAAGATAACTCAGCCAAAATGTGATCACTGTTCATATTTTTTTTAGTTTTTTACATATATTTTAGTATCTATGCTTTCTGGCATCCCATCAAGAAAGAGGAATAGGGGAAGAATTAAATGACCCAGTTTAGGTTAGTCCCCAAAAAGCAAACATTCCTTTGAGAGTTATAATGTTTATAGTTCCTTTACGTTACCTGGAAACATTTAGAGAGCTTTCAGAGGGGAAAAAGTATTTAGAAAGGAATAATGTCAGAAATGTGTTAATTCCAAAATATTTCTTCAAAAGACTTCATTCTTGCACGACACGGGTACACTTACATACATGCAGGCAATACACTCATGTACATAAGATAAAAATAATAAAATATTTTTAAAAGACTTCATTCTGTATTTGACTGGAAAGACCGTTGCCCTAGGCTGGAGGTCAGAGCAGATGCATGAAGGATGTAGCAGATTCTCCCTCAAGTCCTTGGCGCTACCACAAGTAGTACTGAGTAGCTAGGGTCACTCTGCTCATGCCAATGAGTACTTTCGGCAGCATCCTAGGAAATAAATTGTTGAAAAACCAAGGCGTCTCTAATTGGCAGGGAAATCACTTAGGGATAACTAGTTTCTTTATTTTAAACACACATTAAGAAGCCTGAAAGGACCCATTTCGGAGATGGCATGAGGAGACACCAGTCGTACTGGAGCACCTTTGGCAGGTGTACTTAAAGGCTATTCTTGGTCTAGTTGTGAATTAAGGAGCATCATGTTGAGTTACAGCTTTGAGTGATACTGCTCAGGAGTTTTATTAACTAAATCTCTTGCCCATCTCTGTATTGTCAGTAACTTTCCCACCTAAAACATCAGCTTATATTGCAGTCAGAAGTTTCTTTTTCTCTTCGTAGTTTCTAAAACGTTTAAGAAATTGCTAGTCTTGTTCTTAAAAACCTACATAAATTCCTCCAGAATTTATCATATAGTTGGTGCAGGTATTTGCAGGTCTGCTATCGTAATAAATCATGTATACATAAATTTACCTTTCCCAAGAATAGAACATCATTGATTGTTGACTCACAAATCACTAGGACATGGTGTCACAAACCACTGTTGACATGCTCGTGTCACTTCCCTATATCATTTGAATTGGGGAATTGGATGTAACATTGGAAACATAACTAAGGAAGTAACCCAGAATGCTATGATTCCTAGTTTTATTTTACCTATAAATTATTAATGCACTAGTTTCTGCAAGTCCTAAATAATGCTATCTTGAAAGGAGACTAGACTTTGTAATCTGTCTGGAAGAACAAATAAACCTGTGAAATGCACTTGACACTCAGGATTTATATTTCTTTTGGCCCAGCTGTCCAACTCCAGGATGTGATGGAAGTGGTCATGTCACAGGCAACTATGCATCTCACCGCAGGTACCGAATGTCCTTGTGTGGGGTCAGGTTTTCATCATCTTGCTCTGCTGCAAATATTTATTCTCACCTATTCTGGCAAGATGTTTGTCTGGGTTAGGAAATGGACAGTGAGTTAGCTGGGATTGGAGGTTATTTTTCAGAAACACAGTTAGAGCATATATAAATCACGACTCTTAGTCAAAAATGTAATACCCTCAGAGAAATGCCACACAGCTTTAGGTCGAATTAAGAGCCTTTTATTAGCTGGCAGTCAGGGACGGGGCTAACACCCCAAAGAGCTCTTGACCCTGAGGGGAGGCACAGTAGGGTTTATAAAGCTTAAAACCACAATTACATCATGCCAGTGGTAAAGCCAATAACTATAGTTAAAGTAGATCACCATAGTTACTCCAGACCAGGGGCAGGGCAGTAAACAAAGAGGTTTTCAGTTAACAAAAAGTTTGGGTTAGGAAAAACAAGTTTCTCAGTATTGCAGAAACAATGGGCTCCATGGAGATGCAGGTACTGGGAGGGAGGATGTGCTGTCTGGAGATGCTACCTGGCTACTTGTAAGTTTCCCAGTATTGTAGAAACAATGTACCCCTGAAACTACAGGTGTGGCCTTCATGGCTGGTAGGCTGCAGTGGGAGTGGCTGAGCAGAAATACAGGATAAAGCAAAAGTCAGCCAGAACAAAATGGAGTCAGCCTTGCCATTTTAGGCCAATTTAGGCTTCAGGTCAGGCTTTGATCCTGACAGAGTAGGCCATTCAGTGGATGTGGCATCTCCAGTCCTAGACAAATAAATCAAGCTGTTGGGGACACCAAACAGCACTGAAGGTTGTGCTGAATCTCTCTGTTACCCTCCTGATGATATGATTTTCTTTCCCTTGGACGGTGGTCCAAAGCTGACACCATCGTCACTGGTACTTCAGTGGAAGTGGGCTGTCAGTCACCACTGATCACTGAGTTCTCATTGGATTAAAAATAGAGAATCCAAGATTACAAAAGATGGTTTAAGTGGCCTTGAGCCCAGATTCAATTCTAGTTATTTGTCTCAGTTCCTACTCACCCATAACTTGATGTATGTTACAAAGTCAGATTTGTCCATGTCAGCATTGCATCTTCTTTCTCTTCCCTCTGTAGTGTTTCTGGATGCCCTTTAGCAGATAAGACTCTTAAGTCCCTCATGGCTGCCAACTCTCAGGAACTTAAGTAAGTGTCGGGAAGCTTGATATCTTCCCCTCTTCACCTGGTGGAGCCCTCCTTAGCATCCATAAGGCCAAGGGAAAATAAGTTGTACCTAACTGAATAGCAAAGCACTCTCACCAAAAAGCTTGAAACCAAGCCATTATACTTGACCTGCACTAATTTGCTTGCTTTTCAGCCTTGTGTTTTACCCTGATTTTTAAGGAATGATATATTTGTTAAGCAAACTTTTCTGGTTAATTTCAGAATTTATCTTCTGAATCAGACCAATGAAGATGTAGCAGAGCATTTCTATCATCAGTTTTAGGAAAATTGTATAATATGTTTCCTATGGGAATTTAAAATCTCCCAACAACCTTTAACTTTTACTAAACAATGTTTGGGCTCATTTTTACCTCATTTAAAACATCTCTGAGTTATGTATATATTTACTTATTGCCTTTATTTTTCCTATTCTTTTATTATGCATCTGTCATATGCTATTTTACATATCTATATTAAATATACAATACCTTCAAAATACAATATATCTTATACCCTTAATGAGCTAATATAAAAATCTGTAGCTTCTGTACCAGTAGAAAAAAAACTTTGAAATATGCAAATGTTTCTTATTTTCAAAGTGTTAGTACAATTTATTGTGTCAGAGTAGATTCTCAAAGTCCATTTATTGACTGCCATTTTCTAGATTGAAATATAAGAATATTACAGAATTATTAATTAACAGATTGAAAAGTAAGGCACACCAGAATACCTTAGTCTCTCTAAACTTCCACTTTACCACATTTTAATTGTAACTGTCAGTTCAAACACTTTCTTTAAACTTTTTTTTTTTTTTTTGGTTTTTTTGAGAAAGGGTCTCTCTGTAGCCCCAGCTGTCCTGGAACTCACTATGTAGACCAGGCTGGCCTTGAACTCGCAGAGATCCACCTGCCTCTGCCTCCCAAGTGCTGGGATTAAAGGTGTATGCTACCACACCCGGCTTTAAACTATTTTTTTAAAAAAGTCAGTAAGATTCTGAAAGCTTATAGATTAAGAGGTCCATTTGCAGTGTTCAGTAGCTCAGTGTTTTATGCAGCCATCTATCTCTTTTATCCACATAAGGGAAAAAAGGCATTTTACTGACCTCTTGTTTAGATACTCAAGGAGAATCCCAAATAAGGATTATTTGACACAATAGAAAATGCACAATTCCAGTAAATTGCTGTGCTAGTTGGTTTCTGTCAATTTGATACAAACTAGAGACACCTTGGAAGACGAAACTCACTTGAAGAATTTCCTACATTGGCTTGGCCTTGGCTATATCTGTGAGGCATTTTCTTAACTGCTAATTCAAGCAGGAGGTCCAGCCAACTGTAGGCAGTACCATTACTAGGCAGGTGAGCCTGGACTGTATAATGAGGGTAACTGAGCAAGTCAGGAGAACAGAGCCAGCGAACAGTGTTCCTGTGGTCTCTGCCTCAGTCCCTGCGTACAGGTTCCTGCCTTGAGTTCCTGTCCTGACTTCCCTCAGTGGTGGATTGTGACATGGGAGTTGTAAGCTGAAAGACACCCTTTCTTTCTCAAGTTACTTTTGGTCATAGTGTTTATCACAGCAACAGAAAGCAAACTAGGACAGCTATTAAAGCACTCTTTCACTAAAAAAAAATGTAAATAGGGAAAGATAAGGGGTAAGTCTACTTAGTTAGAGAGTAGTTCGTGTGGCTAGTTGATTAAAGACTCAATCCCTGTTTCTCTGGCTAGCTGGAAGAAATGTGTGCTTATTAATTTATCTGAAAAAAAAATACTGTATCTCAGGACTGGTGTTCCATGATATAAAAGCATCCCACGAAAGTTCATTGAGATAAAATTTAAGAAAAGGTACAGAGTATGGCGGTGTACACCTTTGATCCCAGGACTTAGGAGGTAGGTGCAGAGATTGACGCAGACAAATCCCGGTGAGTTCAGCGTCAGCCTGGTCTACATAGTGAGTTCCAGGTCAGCCACAGATACATAGTGAAACCCTGAAACCCTGTCTTTAAAAATAGGGCAGAGAAAAATAAATGTGTAATAGATAACAACTAATATATTGTCAACCAAGCATCACACATCAATTTTGTATGTTAAATTTTTCTTTAAATATGGATTGTTAATGAAAAGCCAATTACATTTAAACAGAAAGATTCCCACCAGAGCAGCTCATCGTCTTTAACTTACTCCAACATGTCATGTCCCCTAACCTGGGAGCCCACTGTATCCCTGTGTTTTCAGGTGTCCGACCCCAGGTTGTGATGGTTCTGGGCATGTGACTGGAAACTATGCTTCCCACCGAAGGTAAGACTGACCCCATGCCTAAAATCTTGACGAGTGTGTTGGCTGGTGCCAGTAACATCACGATGGGTTTGTGTTCTTCTTTGTTGGCTACACATTTTAGCTTGTCTGGCTGCCCTCGTGCAAGAAAAGGTGGCATCAAAATGACCCCTACCAAGGAAGAAAAAGAAGACCCTGAACTTAAGTAAGTGCAACAGATGAAGAGTGTGGCTTGGCTGCACCCTGTGGACTGTGTGGGAGGACCTTGACTGGGATGCCATTGAACATTCCCTAATCCTGGGGAGACAGACATCACTGGGAACCAGGGCTTCTGGATAAACAGCCATACTGTTTGGAAGTTCAAGAAGATTTTCTCATTCATAGCTGCTTCTGCATTCCTTTGACAATGCATAAGAAGGGAGAGATTCATTATTTTTCCACCTACTTTAAAGGAAAGCAGCACTGTAGAAGCACTAAGAATGGGCATAAACTTGGCTCCATCTCATAAAATGGGTGGCAAGTCAGCTAAGCTCGTACACAGCCTCATTTTTCCCTACCTGCAAAATGGGGTAATATTCTCTACCCAAAGTGTTTGCAGTGGACATTAAAAGACTTAATGTAGCCGGATGTAGTGGTGCATGCCTTTAATTCCAGCACTCGGGTGGCAGAGGCAGGTGGATCTCTGTGAGATCAAGGCCAGCCTATTCTACATAGTGAGTTCCAGGCCAGCTGAGGCTACAGGGAGAGCTTAGGTCAGAGCCAATTGTTATTACCGCTAACAAATGCTGTTTTGAGGCTACTGGTGGCATCCTTTAAAACTATCATGTGGGGCTGGAGAGATGGCTCAGCAGTTAAGAGCACTGGCTACTCTTTCAGAGGGCCCAGTTTGATTCCCAGCACCCACATGGTGGCCAACAGCTGTCTATAACTCCAGTTCCAGGGGAATCCAGCACCCCCCTCTAACCTCCACAGGCATTGTACAACACAGGTGCACTTACGTGCATGCAGGCAATATACTCATACACATAAAAATAGTAAGTAATGGGGCTGGAGAGATGGCTCAGTGGTTAAGAACACTGGTTGTTCTTGCAGAAGACCTGGGTTCAATTCCCAGCATCCACATGGCAGCTAACAACTGTCCGTAACTCTAGTTCCAGGGGGTCTGACAGCCTCTTCTGTCCCCTGTGGGCATTGCATGACATGGGTACACTTACCTACATGCAGGCAATATACTCATACACATAAAATAATAAATAATTTTTTTAAATAGTAAAATATTTTAAAAATCTATTATTGTTTCCTGACTAGATTGAACTGTTACTGCCTTTTTTCCACTTGGTAATGTCTCCTGTGTTTCTCTAGATGTCCCGTAATAGGGTGTGATGGCCAGGGTCACGTATCAGGTAAATACACATCACACCGCACAGCCTCGGGCTGTCCCCTGGCTGCCAAGAGACAGAAGGAAAATCCTCTCAATGGGGCCCCTCTCTCCTGGAAACTGAACAAACAGGAACTACCCCACTGCCCCCTGCCAGGCTGCAATGGGCTGGGCCATGTAAACAATGTCTTCGTCACCCATAGAAGGTAATCTTGTTTTCTGGGATTTTTCTGTTCTGTTGTTGTGGTTTGTTGTGACATGAGTTGCTTGGGGGAAGAGCAAAATTCTTTGACCTGTCATTGATTATAGAACTTTAGATATCCTTACACTGTTTTGCTAAGTAGATATTTAACTAGCCTGAAGAATGAAAAATGCTATTTTCTCTATTTCTGAAAATTCACTACACTGTTTTCAAGTGCTCTAGAGACTGAATTTGCTTTTTTAAATTCTAAAATACTGCTTATATTGCTATTTTTAAGTGGTTCAGTCTTTTAGCGGTTACTGCAGTTCCAAGTGGCGATATCGCTTCTATTATGTTGTGTAATTGTAAACTTCGCCGTATGTATTTATATCATTCCTCCTTCTCATGCATTGGCTCCATTTCAGGCCAGGGTAGCAGCTCCTCTGCTGCTGGGGAGATGTGACTCAAGCACAGAAACTGCTAAGAGTGCGAGGATGTAGGAGGGTAGACAGCCCTTCTAGAGTTGCACCTGACAATCTTCCTTCATCACTGAGCATCATGGTTCCTGGGGACACCATCTGGTGTTCAAGGATGATCTTAATCCAGCTTTTGGATAATATTATATCTAAATGGAAAAAGCTAGAAGGTTCCTGATATATTTCTCCAACCAATATGTGGCCACCCCCTTCTAGTCTTGCAGACTACTTTGTGTGCATCATATTGATTTGGAGCCCAGTGATATTTCAGGGAACCTTTGATGCTTTTACGGGCAGTATACAAACTGAGCAAAGTCAGAGCATTTTGGTACTCTGTCCTGAAGGTACAGGTCAATGATACCAAAAAGTGATCCTTCCAGAAACTGTTTGCAAACTGCCAGTGAAATCATCTTATAGAGAAAACTAGAATTTGTGTGTGGAGGTAGAGGACAACTTCAGTAATCAATGACATCAGAAAGTGAATCCTTCCCAGGATTTGCTTGTTTTCAGGTTGCCAGTGAAACCTGCTTATGGAGAAAGTCTGACTTTTTCAAATGATGGCTTTCAGTGTAGGCTCCTGTCTACCATGGCACACCTTCTTTTAACCTGTGTTTAGGTCCTTGTTTCCTATTCAGGAACAGTAATCACAAGTCAAATGTCCATAAGTTATCACCTGCCATTTTGTTTTAGGAAAGTAAATGAAGTCTGTTTTCAGACCACCCTGAGTATTCTAAGAAGGCAAATGAGGTGTATCTGCCCATGGCCTTGATATGCCCTGAGTTGCACATTTGATGGAAATCATATAAGACTCATGTTGATTTTTTGTCTTTTCACTATGGAGCCTACACCCCAGGGGTTCTATCCTGGGTATACCAAGTTCCACTTTCAAAACTATAAAGGATTTCTGTGGTGGGGAGAGAAGATCACATGTGCGTGTGTAAACATGTGTGTAGCCATCAGAGGAGAACCTTCATTCAGGCACCTTCCATCTTTGTTTGATAGGTCTCTCATTGGCCTGGAACTTCACCTAGTAGGCTAAGTTGATGGGCTGGTGAGCTCCAGGGACCCACCTGTCTACACCTTCCATCTCAGCATCACAGATCACAAGCACATGCCACCACATCTTATTACATGGGTTCTAGGGATTGAACTCAGAGCCTCACATTTGGAAGGCAAACCCTTTACCAAATGAGCCATCTTCCCAGCCCATTTCTATATTTTTCTAGACCCATTTCTTTTAAATTTGAAATTTAACTTCATATTCTGATTTAATTACATTAGAAGATACAAAGTATCAAGTGGCATTTATGAAAACAAAGCCTCACTTTCATAACAATATGTGTAGGTTCTGAGTTGTGTAATGGTGTATAATGCTTTGTTAACTTTTTTACAACACTGTGTCTCCCTGGAAATTTGCTAAAATTGTTTGAGCAAAGCAGAACTCTCAGGGAGAATGCAGGAAGGTTCTACTGAGATGCTACTAGTCGCTCTATTACATATGGACTTACCATGGGCACCTGTATAATTCCATTTTACAAACTAAATATTCCTCCCTTTGATAACTGTTTTCTTAGAACACATCATGTGGCAATAGAACAGGACACACCTGTGCAAATAATTATGAAGCTTGCCTAGTCAATGATTGGCAGAGAGAAGCTTTTCATTTTCTTTTCCTGTGTAAATAATCTATCACTTAATCAAATATGAGCAAATCACACAGTCTCCTCTTTTTAAAATGCTATCTAATCTCTGTTACCATTATGTTCTTACATGTTTCATATATTAAATAGAATTATGTTCTATTCTTTTCTATGTGTATTTTTATTAAATTTTTTGTGCATTTCATACAAAGCATCGTAATCTTTATACCCCTCCCTCATCCGGACACCCCCATAGCCCACCCCACTGGATTTTATGCTTTCTATCATATATTTTAAGGCCCATCGAGTCAAGATAGTGTACCCAGACATCCCTCAGTGCAAACTCATCAACTAGGGTCTAGTCAGCCTATCTAGTCTCTCTCTTAAAGAAGATCAACTCTCCCTCACCCAGCAGTAATCAGCTGCCAATAGTTCTTGGCTAAGGTGGGGGTCTGCTGCCCATTTCTCCAAATCTGTGCTGGAGTTTTGGCTGCTTGAGTTTACATGGGTCTTGTGCATGCTGACACCATTGCTATAGGTTCATATGAGCATGGTTCCAGGAGCCTGTAAGACTCTGTTTCCATATGGTCATGTACCTCCTTCCCTGGCTCTTACAATCTTTCCACCCCCTCTTCTGCAATGATCCCTGAGCCCTGGGTGGGTGGAGTTTAATATAGGAGTCTTGTCCAAAGACACAAACTCTGCTTTGGCCATTTATGGCCTTTTTTATTCATTGCCCTCTGTGGCATGAAGGAGCTTAGTTGGTGAGACTTGAGAGATGCATTAGTATTCTCTCTATCCCCTTGTTCCACTACATTCTGTCAGCCTTAGGTATAGAGGTTCCATTGTAGATGTGTCACTTAGGGTTGGGCATCTCACAAACACTTTTCTCAGTGTGACCAGTTGTGTAACTCTGCAGTGGTCTCTGTCTGTTGCAAAAAGAACCTTCTTTCATGAATGGTGACTGGCATACTTGTTTATAAATACAAGGATCCATATTTAGCATATACTAAGAAATTACATTTGTCTATGAATATGATACCCTAAGGGTTTTCTCTAAGATCTCTGACATCTCCTGTCATGTATATTGGGCTATGTTTACATTACCATACATGAGTTCCCTCCCATTGAGTGGGCTTTAAGTCCAATTAAGTAGCTGCTGATTAACCCCAAGATAAAAGTGCCACTAATGCAACAATACAGTTTGCTGTGCTGGTCATTGTTGTGGTTAACTTGGGCCTTAAAGCTGGGGTTGGACCATTGATTGATGTTCTCCCTTAGCAGTTTGCATAGTGTCCTCCAAAACTATGAGAGTTAGCCTTCAGGGAGGAGGCTTCCAGGTCAGTTCCAGCTCCATTACTCCAAGTCCTGTGTCTTAAGTATACTCTGTCTTCAGCAATAGGGTTTTACCTTCAAGTTTTGGGAGGCAATTAAAGGCTGTGGCAATAGCCTGAGTAGTTTGGGAGTCTCTTGGACAACCCTGGCCAACAACTCAAAGGGAGCTTTCTCCTGTATGGCATTGTTTCTTGTTGTATAGCCTTCAGCTAAATATATGGATTCATGTGGAGATATTTATGTATAATTTTTGAGTAGGCTTTTGAACTAATACATTTCCCTCTGGTTTTTCACACCAGCTAATCATTATTTATTTCTCCTTCCCTGCCTGCCTATACTCCTTCCTCCCTCCCCAATTAAAGTATCTCCATTTTCCCCATTTCAGCCTTTATAATACCTGGCTCCTATGATTCCCCCTCTTTTGAGCTCCTTCTTCTTGTTTACCCCCATGGTTCCTTGTATAACTCTCCATATTCCCTTCCCAGTTAAATTCCCCCCTTTTACCAATTTCCCCCTTGGTGACACCTGTCTCCTAATATTCTTCTCTCTCAGGCTCCTTCTTTCCCTTTACTTCCATGTTTCCTTTCCATTTTCTGGCTTTTGCAGTTACATCAGTACATATACTCACATATAAGGATTTGGAGCTAAGATCCACAAATGAGGGAGAACATTGTTTTATGGAGTCTGTGCTACTGCACTTAGTTTAACAGTTTCTAGTTCCATCCATTTACCTGAAAATTTCATCATTCCATCTTTCTTAACTGCTGAGTAGAACTCCATTGTGTAAATGTACCACATATTTATTATCGACCCATCAGTTGAGGGACACTTAGGTTGCTTCCATCTCTTAGCTATTGTGAAAAGAGCAGCAACAAACATGGATGTGCAAGTATCTCTGTAGTAGGATGAGTCCTTTGGATATATGTCAAGGAGTGGTATAACCAGGTCATATTGTAGGTTCAGTTTTCATTTCTTAGGAGTTTTCTACACTGCTTTCCATAGTAGTTGCAAGAGTTTGCAATCCCACCAGCAGATGAGCATTCTCTTTTCCCCACATCATCTCCAGCATTTGGTATCATTTTTTGTCTTGATCTTAGCCAGTCTGACTGGGGTAAGATGAAATCTTAAAGTGGTTTTGATTTGCATTTCCCTAATTACTAATAATGTTGAACACCTTTTAAGATATTTCTTAGCCATTTTTATTTCTTTTTTAGCAAACTCTCAGATCCATAGCCCATTTTTTCTTAAATTGGGTCATTTGTTTTCTTGGTTCTTTGTTTTTTTGAGTTCTTTATATATTGTGGATGTTAAACTTTTGTCAGATGTGTCATGGTGAAGATTTTCTCCCACTCTGTAGGTTTTTTCTTCACTTACTTGGTTGTTTCTTTTGCTGTACAGCATTTTAGTTTAATGAGGTCCCACTTGTTGATTGTTGATCTTAATTCCAGAGCAACTGGTGTCCAGTTTAGATGCAGGTCCTTTCCTGCACCTATCCCTTGTATGGTACTGCCTATGTTTTCTTTTAACACTTTCAAAATTTCAGCTTTCACATTGAGGTTTTTGATGCATTTGGAGTTGACTTTTGTGCAGGGTGAAAGATAAGGGTCTGGTTTCATTCTTAAAGAATGTAGTGGTTCACATCCTTAAAAGTTGGAGTGGTTCACGGTTTTTAAGGACTTTGCTCTAGAAATGTTTTCTTCTACTTTCCATAGAATCACAAACTTCAGGTTGAAATTATTGTTTTGTGGTTGAGTCATAACCACATTTCTGTAGGGAAAAATACTTTAAATGGCTGATTTTGTTCATTTTTTTATTTAAAAAATGTTTTCAAAGAGAAACAACAAAATCATTAAAGAATTAATGAATGCTTAGACAAAGAACACCTTCTGATCATTATTGGTAGAAGCCACATTCTTTTCAGTGTTGTCTTTATCACACTAATACAGTTTAAGTACAGCAGGTGATAGGAGGGAGAGCCTTGCTAAGGAGAGCAGCCATTCAGTGAGCACCACCTCGGGTCATTGACCACCCCACCACAGCTGTAGCTGCAGAGGCTGCTGTTATTTCCCTCTGAGGATTCAGATTTCTTTAAATGAAAAATAACTTTTTTTAATTTATTATTTTTATTTTATGTGTATGAGTACATTGCCTGCATGCGTGTAAGTGTACCCATGTTGTGTAATGCCTGAGGAGATGAGAAGAAGGTGTTGGATTTCCCTGGAACTAGAGTTATGGGCAGTTGTTAGCTGCCATCTAGGTGCTGGGAATCAAACCAGGGTCCTCTGCAAGAACAGCCAGTGCTCTTAACCACTGAGCCACCCTGCCCCCCAAAATAATATTTTAACAATTGAATATAAAACTAATAGAAACTTTCCCATATCTAGAATGCATTTGCCATAAGAGAGTGGGAGTTGTTCCTGACTTTTACTGACTTTAGTCATTCTGTAAAGATCAGAATATACTTTGTGTGAAAACAGGAAGAACTAGATTCTGCTTCATTTTTTATGCAATTTTGTTAGTAGGGAGCAATCCTTCTTAACCTATATGAGCAGTTTCGTATGTACAGAAACTGAAGTCTGCACCACTTTCATAAATGTAGAAGAGTACCATTCTAGCAAAATGAACAAAATCATGATTGTTTATCAACAGTGGCAATTTCTACTGTGATTTAAAAGAAAAATGTGAAACATTTTCCATTACTTCAGGGCCTTTGGATTTTTTTGCTTTGATGTATATTTATTGGTTACTTTCTACAAAGAGACTGGGTTTTGGCATAATTAATGAGTAGGTAATATCAACAATAGGTAGCAAATAAAACTTTCTAGTTTTATAAGAAATAACATGCACTTCACACATTAGCATACATTCTCTCTTTACAGCTTATCTGGATGTCCTCTCAATGCACAAGCTATAAAAAAGGGCAAGGTCTCAGAGGAGCTCATGACAGTCAAACTCAAAGCACCTGGGGGTAAGTCACCATCTCCACTGAGGTCTGGGAGAGTAGACCCCCATCTCTGCATCGGCTGCTGCAGGTAAAAGGATGTGCTGTATCAAAGTGCAATTTCAACTACAAGAACAAAAGCTGGGCATGATAGTGTACACATTTAATCCTATCACTCAGGAGGCAGAGGCCAATGGATCTCTGTAAGATCAAGGCCAGCCTGGTCCATATAGTGAGTTGCAAGCAAGCTGGGGCTACAGGAAGGCCCTCTCTCATAAAAAGAAAAAAAAAAGAAAAAAGAAAAAAATTCCAAGAACAAAAGTTTCCTCCGATTTGAGCTAAAACTGTAACATATGAGAAACAATTTCTCTATTTCTCTCTTACTCTGTAATAAGAATTTCCAACAGTGAAAAGCATGAAATGCCATACCGGTAAATTGGGAGACACGGGCAGAAGCTGTCTTTCATTCTTCACAATGGTGGTTTTTTTCCCAAGAGCATGTTTGCATGCATATGTGTGTATGTGTGCATACATGTGTGTTCCCACCTCAATCCCCATCAAAGTTCAAGAAACAATTTCTGGCATCTATATTTGAATCCCCTGATGTTTTCTGTAAAATAAAAGGGTAGATGTTTTCACAGTGACTCTGGGTGCCTTAACACCCATATCTGTGTCTCCATTTCTCGTATAGTCCTTGTTCAGTTCCTTAATCAAAGTTAAGCTATACTGGCTCTTAGTTCCACATTGAGATGGTCTCGTCTTTGCTTTGGTCCTTGAATGTTTTTCTGATCTTTCTGTCAGCATTGTTCAGATTCTTTGAGGTCCGCTTCTTTCCCATTGAAGATCCTCTTAAACATTAGGAGATGGCAAAGCAGTGCTGCGCTTCAGAGACTGTATTTAATGTCACCTTTGATCCATGATCAGAACTGAGCTGGAACCATTTTCCTTTTCATTTTTGTTGCTGGGAATGGAACCCAGGGTGTCTTGCATGTTAAGCATGTTCTCTCCCTAGATGCATGATAACTCATAGAGGAGAGCACTCTAGAGCTACCCACCATTTCCTGCCCAGAGACGCCATCATCTGTGTTACCTATAGCCTCCCTTAGGGAGCTGTTCTCATTCCCTGGGTTCCCCCTGCTAAGACTCTGGGGACAGTACCCAGAGGATATTAAGAAAAGACCTGTGTCTTCCACACTTTCCAACATCCAGGTACCTTAGCAGCTGACCTTTGCCTTGTGCTCTGGATGTTTCTCAGAAGTACTCTCATTCTTCCAGTGCCTCTCCATCAGTACATCATCAGTGTGATTAGGGCAACTTAATGCATATTTATTTTCATATCACTTTAGCTCAAACAGTATTCAAAGGATAAAGGATGCAAAGCTACATAAAATGGGGGAAAATATATATCACTTGAAAGTGGTGTCGCATACCTTTGATCCCAGCACTCGGGAGGCAGAGGCAGGCAGATCTCTGTGAGTTCAAGGCAAGCATCGTGAGATAGTGAGTTCCAGGCCATCTGGGGCTACGAGGAGACCCTGTCTCAAAAAGACCCCCCCCAAAAAGAAGGCAAGATAAAACAGGCTGGGGATATCAAGAATATGTGTCACTCAAGGCATTTCACACTCAGTAATAAGGACCTCAGACTGACCCTTGAGAACCACACTGTGGTGAGTACATTAGAGCAGATCTCTCATGTCCTCCGTATAAGAACACCAGTGACAGCTATTCTCTGAGTCACAGAACCACTCCTAATAAGGATACAAACAAAACAGAAGCCAGTGGCATGGCACCTGGTTATAATAGAGCCAAACATAAATCCATATGACTTTATCCGTAGTCTATAGTTTTAAGTTAAACTAGGGTCAAACTATTCCTACAGTTGCTTGAATTAGATGATATTTTGGGAGAAGGTAATGAAATGGATCAGCTGGTAAAAGTGCTTTCCCCAGGAGCTTGACAATCTGAATTTACTTCACACAGTAAGAACCAAGGGGCAAACCACAAACCGACCCCTGAAAGTCATCCCCTGACCTCCACATATGCACTGTGGAATGTGTGAACACACAGTAATTAATTAATTAATTAATTATTTTATTAATTAATTAATTAAAAGACAGTGTTGTAGGGGACTGATCCCATCAAAGAAGCTTGAAACCACAAAACGGTTTGCATTTATTTTAGAAGCATTTACCCTCAGCTCTTTATCCATGCCATATTAAGTTACCACACTAGTTCCTTAATGATGACTTGTAGTCCTTGATAATAAAACTAGTTCATCTGCACAAGAAACAGTGCTTGCCTTCTGTGCTCTGTGAGGACAAATAAAATTTGTAATGGTTTGCTAGGTTCAGTGCGTCCTTCTCACTCTTCTCAGGACGCAAAATACTCAGTTTTGACTACTGTGAGACCTAATTCTTTCATGACTCTTCTCACTTCTTTAGTATCAAGAGTAGTTTATTTTGTACTAATTCATATTCCCCTAAGTAAAAAAGAAAAAGTTTAATCTGAAAACTAACCATTCATGAAATAAATATAATTAAATTTATTTAAGCACAATAGAATTATTTTCTTATATAAAAAATAAAGTTCTTATAAAGTGAATGCACTGTTTTCAATGTATAGATTCATGACTTTAAAACTGTATGGGGCATAGAGTGTTACAGATTGCACAAACATAATTACACAAATTCAGCACAGATTTGTACCAAGTAAAAATTAGAATTTTTTTAAAAGAGTGACAGCATATTCTCCTTTTTTAAGATATATAGATCTGTAATATCCAAGATCACTCAGTAGTTAAATATGTCATGGAATGTTTGTATGGCTTCTCTGACCAACCGCAATACCTAGCTGGGCTGTATACTTTAAGGGGGACCAGTATATGCTTCTTTTCGTACTTCCAGAGCACATTAACCATCTCTGAGTAGAGGTGGCATTATAGTGGCTCTCCAACTTCAGGGGATACATTCCAAGACTTCAGCAGATGTCTGAAACCAGAAATAGTACTATGTTTTTTTTCTGTACTTACACACCTATGGTCCACTTAATTCATAAACTAGGCACAATAAGAGATGGACAGCAAGTGTTTGTAAAATAGAACAATTATAACAAGCTACTATAATACAATATATTTAATAAATATATTTAATGTATTCAGTCTACAGCTGACTACGGGAAACAAACCAGTACAGAATGTGAAGTTACAGATAAAGAAGGCCCTGTGTAAAGGTTAAGGAAGATATTTTTTTGGAGCCAGACTGTTCATGTTTGAATCCCAGCTCTAACATTTACTTAGTACCCCAGTTTTCCCATCTACAGAATGAGATAAGTGTTTACCTCACAGATTGAGTTACTCTTTGGAAGCCAAAAGTGAAATTCAGACTCTGGGGCCTCTCCTTAGCTCTACCCAGTTGAATTGTGCTCCCCTGAGGAAGAGAGGCTCATCCGGATTGTATGTAGAGAGGATGAGGATCTAGGTAGAAGTAGATGAGTAATGTAGTAACTGAGAGAAACTACAAAGATATGACTGGATTTGAGACTGTTGATGAAATATCTCCCAAATCTCAGGAGTATTAATACATTTATTACCTCCCTCATTGATTAATTTCATGAGAATTTATGGAAAGTCTGATATATAATAGATCCTGTGGTATTTCTTTTTTTAAATTTTTTAGTGCAGGGGATACACATGAGTGTTGTGGTATGCATGTGGAAGTTAGTGGATGACGTTCCAGTGTCAGTTCTCCCCTCCACCTGTTGAAACAAGGGTCTCTCTTGCTTCTGCCTCCATGCTGCATATTCTAGCCTAGCTGACCCATGAACTCCTAGTGCTTCTTCTGTCTCAGTCTGTCATCTCTCTGTGAGAATCCTGGGATTGTGCACAGGTGCCGCTGCATTTAACTTTTTTACATAGACTCTGGGGGTCAAACTTATGTTGTCAAGCTGGCACAGCAAGCAGGTAAACCTGCTGAACCATATTTCCAGCCCTAATGTATCTTTTTAGAGTTCTCATTCCATAGGCATACCTCCCAATAAGCTCCAGGCACCTTTTGTTATTGGGAATCTTCCAAATTACACTATCTTGATTAAGTATCTTTGTTGGCACTGATCAGCTTTCCAGTACAATAATAAAATACCTGAAATAGTGAAGTTATAAAAGAGCAAAGATTATGTTGGCTCACAGTTTGGGATGTTCCAGTCCATAACGAGTTGGCCTATTGCTTTGAGCTTGTGGTGAAGGCAACACATCATGATGAGAAAGTGTGTTGGAGCAAAACCACTCACTTTACAGCCATTAAGCAAAGAAAGAAAGAGGCTGGAGTTTCATAATCCCTTCAAGGGCGTGCCTTCCAAATGCCCAAAGACCTCCCAGTAGTCCTCACCTCTTAAAGCTCACACAACCTCCTAGTAGTGGCACCCTAGAGACTAAGCCTTAAGTCATCGACCTTTGGAGTCATTACAAGATCCAAACTTCAGCAGCTATCTTAAAAACCACTGGGTATCGGGAAACATAATCTAACTGAGTTCCAGTACCAGCATTCTTCACTTAGAGTCTTCTCAAAAGCATCCACAGCTTAGCCAAAATTGAATATTTAATCGTTCTACTGAAAATTGCTGCTCACTAGTCTTCCTCACCCCAAAGACTGCCTACCATGTCACTTGTTACAGCAAAGCAAGTAGACACCATAGATTCCTTCCTGCTCCTATTGCCTACTCTAGTCCATCACAAGTAAATTCTGTCTGCAAGTTATATTTTGAGTCCATCCCCCTTCTTTTTACCTCCACTTCCATGGCCATGGCAAGGGCTGAGACCTAGCCATGACCTAGCCAGTAATCTCTCAACTGGTCTTCTAGCTTCTACTCTGTCTTACCATCAATCTGTTTTCTACAAAAATCCAGTATGTGTTTTTATTTTATGTTTACCGTGCAACAAAACCTTTATTAACATTTTTAACACAGCTTCGGCTATCACTGAAACTTGTAATTTCTAAACTTAAATTGGGGCAAATGGCTGTAGTGCAGAGTATTGCCATTGCTGCACATTGGGAATACAGACTGAAGAATTAATAGTCACCCAGGAGATGGAGGACGAGGTGCAGGGTGGACTCCTTCTGGATGTTGTAGTCAGACAGAGGGTGGCCATCTTCCAGCTGCTTGCCCGTGAAGATCAGCCTCTGCTGGTCAGGGGGAATGCCATCCTTGTCCTGGATATTGGCCTTCACGTTCTCAATGGTGTCGCTGGGCTCCACCTCCAGGGTGATGGTCTTGCCAGTCAGGGTCTTCACAAAGATCTGTGTTTTGACCTGTTACCGAGAATCAGGAGATCACAAACCCCTGATCACGTCAGAGGACAGCAGCAGCACACCTCACAAAGCCCGTCATCAGGTCACTGGAGATGCAGCTCACTGGGGTAGTACTTGTTTCGTATGCGCAAGGCCCAGAGTTTGAGCTCCAGAACCTTGAGCCAGAGACAGAGACCTGATAGCAACAACATTCTGGGTTAAAATTCTTCCCTGGATCCTACTGCAAGGGAAAAACTCCAAGTCCCCAGTGAGGTCACCCATGAGCCACCCCTGCTTATTTTCCTTATAGTCCTAGGAATACGGTACTTCCTTCTACCCTCACCTACATGCTGTTTCCCTCCCTGGGATGCTTATCTCCCCCTCCATCTCCTTAGCTTTGAAGTCAGACTAGGAATCTTCTCCAGTGAGAGTCCTCGCAGCACCTTGTTTGTTTGCTTCAGAACTCTTTATATTTTATAAATGCTCTTTCTTTTTGTCTGCCTCATAAGCTATTATGTAAGAAAATGCCATCCCTGAAGTGGAATTGCCAAAAGACAGAAAGGAAAAACAATATGTCAGAGAAATGTGGCAATGGAAATTTTCACATACTCAAGAAAGAAAAATTTTAAGTGCTGATAAGTACTCCATACGTCACTGAGGATCCTTTCTTCCTAAGCTACCATATATTGGTTGCCTGAGAGAAGATTGCTTTCCTAGCACACCAGCCAGTTGATTATGGTGCTCAGAATTCAGTAGAGTTCTGTAGGTAGCGTGGGCCACTGCAGATGTCCTACATGAGACACCATAGTTCTATTAGTAAAGGCCTGTCCACTGTTTGCTGTATTCTTTGGAGCTGTGTCAGGTTGTTACTTCATTTCAGACTGACCTAGGAACCTTTTAGTCATTATCTTGTTCTCCTTTATTACTGAATGTCAGAACCCAGAGTGAGATCAATCTTGTTATGTGCTTTCTTCCTTGGTCCATGCATGGCCCACTTTAAAAATAAAAAAAAGCATAAGTGCTTACAAAATAGTCACCTGTTTTATAACATTGCATGTAAGGGCTTACAGTTTTTGCTTCACATTGTACTATAATGAGTCATTGAGAGGCTGGAGAGATGGCTCAGCAGTTGAGAGCACAGTGCTAGTGCTCTTGCAGTTCAGTTCCCAGCACCACATCAGGCAGCTCACAGCACCTCTAACTCCAGTTCCAAGGGATCTGACAGGCTCTCTTTACTCCTCAGATACCTGCACCCACATGTACACATACCAAGACACAGACACACACATAATTAAAAATAAAATATTTTCACAAAATGAGTCATCCACATGATGATTGGGAAGGGGGTCAGCCTCTGACTTGTTTTCAGGGTGGGCTCTTGGAAACAGTACTGCTGCTGCATCCATGTGGTGGTTTTGATTACATCCTCTTGTGTGTGTACCTTTATGTCCTGACCCAGGAATGGAATTGCTGGGTCATAGAATTGTTGTAAAGAATGTGTGTGACATTGGTAATTTATTCAGATAGACATCTCTGGTTCATAGTTCTGGAGGATGACCAATCCAGGAGTGTGTTCCCAGCATCTGTTCAATATCTGCCACATTACTGCCGTGGTGAAAGGTATTGTGTGATGAGACAGAACACTTTTGCTAGCTCCAGCCTCTCTTCTTAAATAGGTTCTACTGCCATCATAGGGGTCCACTCATGACTTTATCCAATCCTAATCACCCCCTAAAGGTCCTGGCCTCTAATAATTTAATATGATTTTAGAATTTAAGTTTCCAGCACATGAACTTTTATAGGACACACTTGAACCATGACGGTGGGTTATGGACTGTTTTCCACACAGCCCAGGAAAGTACAAGTACTTAGACCTGGTAAAATTAAAATTGCTGTCATGAAATTTATCTTAAACCTACATGTAGACATTTACATCTGTTCCACTCTCTTGTCAGCACCAGTTTAGACCCATCTTTCACTGTTCTGATTACCTAAAGTCGTGCCTGTGGTATCCTTCATGTTAACTACCTTTCCCAGACTTTCAGATGTGCAGAATGTATTCATACTTTCTCTACAAAATAATAGTGGAAACTAACATCTGTCCACTGAGCACTACTCTGTGTACTATGGTCTGTATTTTAAGGCATTCATTCTCCTAGCACAGATATAATGCATATTTGTATAGAAGCAGACATTGAAATCTGAAGTTTAATAAGTGCCCAAATTCAAGAACAAAAGCTAGGCCATGTTCTTTCTCCTATGCTGCACGTGCTCTTTTCCAAGTGCGTGCACAGAACGCCACTGTGGTTCTCAGATTCCAGCTCACCTGCCAGCAGCCCCAGCTCTGTCTCTTCTCATGGGTCCTAAGGTTCACCTTAACTGAGCAGATATAAGTGCTGGGCATCTCTTACACATACATTGGAGTTCTGAGTCTGACTTGAACTCTGGCAGTTTATTTAATTTCTATCAATTTATTTTAATTCTAGTGACCACATTTAGCTTCTCTGTGGCCCTACAGCTTCATTTACGGAAGAGTGCAATGAGACATCTGTAGGGCAGAGGTGTAAACTGAGGCATATCTGTACTCTGGGAACACAGCTGAGCCATGAGGAATGCTGGTGCTTTTCTATTCCCTTTTCCCTTTTGTAGGAGAACTAAATCCCATAATCCTTTTCATTTTCCAGAATCTTGCATATGTACAGTTTGGGTAAAAACACTTCAAGCTAAAGTCTGGTTTTCAATGAGCAAAACACGGTTTAAATATAAAACACTGTGCAGTTGACCTTGTCTCCTGTTTTCAGTTTGAACTCCTGACTCTCCACAGGTGTAGAGGGCGATGAAGAAATTAGGCATTTGGATGAAGAAATAAAGGAACTGAATGAATCCAACCTTAAAATTGAAGCAGATATGCTGAAACTTCAGACTCAGGTAAAAACAACAAATAGAACCGTCGTATTTTCTAGTAATCCCAGGACGTATGTTCAGAAGAAACTAAACCGCACGTCAAGCCTGAGGATCTATGAGTTTGAAGCCAACTTGGGCTACACAGTGAGTTACCGACCAGCCTGAGCTACTATGGTGATTCAAATGAGAAATGTCCGTCGCAGGCTGAGGCCTTTGAACACGGCCCCCGTCTGTGGCGCTGACGCAGAGGTTTAGGAGGCGTGGCCTTGCTGGAGGAAGCACATCACCGGGATGGGTGGTGGATTGTGGAGCGTTCATAGCCGCACCCCGAAGAGTTCTACTTTTACTCTCTGCTTCTTGTGCATGAAGATGTGGGCGCTCAGCCATGCCTTCCCCACTTGTAGTGACTCTTATCCCTCTGGACAAAGCCCAAATAAACTCTTTTTTCTGTTAAAAAAAATCTAATTAGCTGTTTTTTAAATAATCATGATCTTTATTGGAAGCAAAACATTGAGCTAGCTAAATCTTGTATCTGAAAATACAGATCTGTTAGAGGCGATACAGTGAGCATGTCTCTGTCACACATTTACTGAAAATCTTGGATGAATCAATCATCCCTGACTCAACACCTGTGGTCAGTTGCTCCTGCTTGCCTTGTTTCCTGGGAGCTTCCTCTATAAGCAAATAAAGCAGATCATCATCATCACGCAAGAGCTCACAGTGCAGTCATACTGCAAAAGTGAGGGGTCCTTAGTTTTATTCAAAATTCAAATAAAACATCTCACCTTCTTTAATTTTTCTAGACTCTTTCTGTGTGTCTTAGAAGGAGATAGAAGGATATTTTCTTGTACAAAATTTTTTCCCAAAAATTCAGGTATTGTCTGACTTCTGCCCTCTCTACAGTATCTGACCTGATTAAATTTACACGATTAGAAATCAAACATTCAGCCCAAGATTTAAAAACTACTAACAAAAATTCTGCTGATGAGGACATAATTCACTGGTAGAATGTTTTCCTGCACATGTATAAGTCTCTGGATTTGATCCTCAGTACCTCAAAAAGCAAAAACAACTCTTACAACAAGGAAGGGAAAAATGAGACAGCACAGAGAGTATAGGGTCCTTCTTGCCTTCCCAGTCCCTTCTCTCCTTCCATGTGCCCCCTTCACCCACTGCTCATTCAGCAGTCCTCCCCTTAAGCAACTTAATCCATCTGAAATAGTTTCTTCACCCAGCACACATCATCCCATCTGAGCACCAAGTGGGTTCACAGAAAGAACTTGATGCTTCTGCTTGGAACTCATGGAACCTCCTTTTCAGACCATTAGCAAAGAACACAAGGGCCTCCTCCCTCATGGAGCTCGAAGTCTAGATAAGGAAGTCAGGCGATAAATAGCAACCAGAGATCATTTGTGATAAATCTGCTATATTCCAGAAGGAGGGAAGAGTGGATGAACAGCTGGGTTTCAATATTAAATGCAACAACCAGGCCCCAGGAAGAAGGACACATGTCAGCAAAGACTTGAGACAGGAAGGAGTTAACTGGCAGAGATCAGGAAAGAATGCTCTACGGAGACTTAAGGCCAAAGCCCTAATCATGATAAAGCTGGAGGTTTGAGCAGTAGCAAAGACCGGTGTATCTGAATGTGAGCCCACTTGATGGGACAAGTTGTAGAAGGGTCTCAGATGTGGCACAGGGTAGGTCACAAGAGGGCGGCTAGGCCTTGTTGATTACCTTGGCATTTATTCTGAAGGAATGATGAGCCCCTACAGGATTTGGGGCTAAGGAGCAGCTCAGTAACATTTGGCTTACCTTCTGACTTGAACTTTAAGGGACTCACTATGGTAGTATGTTGAAGAGGGACCAAGAAGAGACTATATAGGGCAAAGGCTCATAGGACCTCACAGTGTTACCAGTGGCTGGGCCCAGGTGGCAGCAACACAGGTAGACAGTGGTCCCATCCTGTGTTTTAAAGGGAGTTCCCAACTTGAAGTGTGAGAAAAAGGGCCTTGCAGTTGGGGCAGCATTCAGGTTCCATCAGCTGGAAAAGAGAGGCCTGCAGCTAGAACAGGACCAGGAAAATAGCAGAGGTACAGTCTAGGCCACTTTGAGATATCCACCAATTAGCATGTGAAGAAGATGGGCCTGCAGTTCATAAAAGTCTGGGCTCAAAGTACAAACCTGCGGGTGTGACTCCACTTAGAGCAATATGGTGGGGCTGTATTTTGGAGACCCCAGCATTTATAGTCAGCCATGTGCTTTCCCCAGAGGCCTTTCATAAGCCTTCAAACTACTTCTCACATCCCGCATTACTTGTGTTTTAGATAACGTCCATGGAGAGCAATTTAAAGACAATAGAGGAAGAGAACAAACTCATAGAGCAAAACAACGAGAGTCTGCTGAAGGAGCTGGCAGGGCTGAGCCAGGCTCTCATCTCCAGTCTGGCTGACATCCAGCTGCCACAAATGGTAAGCCTAAGACCAAAGCTTCACTGTCCTGTCATCCACGTGCCATGCCGTGACCCTGGGGCTGAGGTTGACAGCACCAAGCTCTAAGAACACCTGGATTGCCACCATCTCCCGTCATTGCATTCCCATGAGTAATGATCTCCCCATCTGAGACATTGTAGAAACATATTCAGATTGATGAAGGCCAATGACCTTCTGAAAGGCCAGGGTACTGTAAAGATGAAGGATTCATTTGAAGTGTATTTTATAATGTTATGTGAAAGTTGGAGGACAGAACCTACCCACTGAAAATGTATTTCCAAGCAGAAGACCCTGTGCAGCCCTCAGTAGCATCACGCACAACAGCAACTGTACAATTAAAAGATTCATTCCCAAGAGACAGCTTGCAATACTCCATTTCTTCTCGTAGAGCGTAAAACTGAGAATGACTGAGGGATTCTTATTTCTAAGACCCACACACATATTTCAGGTATGCAACTATTTGGAATTCACAAAAAGTTTATGGATAAATATAAATCAGTCTTTAGAGATAGAACTGCCTTGATGAGGGACATATTGCTGAATGCTTTTAATTTCCTCAGAGTCTACATTCTTAGAACTATTAAACTTTCATTTTATAATAAGATGATTTAAAGCAACAGCAGTGCGTTAAAAAATAGAACTGGTTTTTGCTCAAAACAATAAATCACTCAATTTACCAGCTTCCTCGCCTGAACTCTTCATCTTATCCAATTCCAAATGTGTTTTCTTGATTAAAAAAAAAGTCAATAATGTAACTTTATGACTAGTATTAAGGCAATATTAGATATTATTATATTTATGACATTTTTAACTCCTACTTCAAATGTGCACATGTGTATGCCTTAATATTTTGCTCTTTACCAATGCCACAGAATTAGCAGGGTACCTGTAACTTGTACCTTGAGTACTTACCATCCAGGGCACTGTAGTGATGTTTGTAGGGCTGACCACATGAAATATTCCTAAGAGCACTGAACACTGAAGATTGGCATTTCCAGCTATAGTTGAGGAAATCACAGCTCAGTTTCCATCATTTGATCAAGGCTTAAAGCTTTAATGAGTCAGGAGGACCTAGTTTCCTGATGCAACCTATATCCACTCTGCCCGCTGGGACCTCGTCTGGTTACATGATCACAGAAGAAATACATGGCACAGGAAAGGCAGAAGATACAGGGAATGGAAAATCACAAATGGGCATGTGAATAATTCAAATCAGAATTTTGCAGCACATGACCACATAGTCTTCAGATTTGGAAAGCTTGCCTTCCAAATCATAATGATGGCAGTAATATCCTATATGCAGCCTATATCCTATGTCCTTTATGTATATGGTATTTATAGCTTCTTCAGTTCCTTTCCTCCAATCACCCTGTGAAGTAAAAGAGGTATTTATCATGGGTTTTTAAAGAGGTGGGGACCCAGAGGCTCCTGGGAACACCTCTTTTGTCATGTATTTTCTGCCCTTCACCACATAATACTTTACACCTAACCAGTGTGCACTCATTTTAAAATGTTAGGCGAAGAAGACACCAAAATAGCTAAAATGGTTAGAGTAAATAAGTCTGGACCCTGCAAAATTGATATTCTACCTAAAGAAATAGGGTGGGGGGCAAAATGGTGATAGTAGAAAATATCTCTGTCAGAACTGTTAGTGAGCGACCTGTGCAAATCTACATTCCCACAATTCTGCCCCACCTCTATTCAAGGAACCACTGGGCTCAAGTACACCTTCACCTGCAGTCATACAAACCCTTGCCTCCTACCCACCTTAAGTCAGCAACATTCTTCCTTGTCACCTGATCCTCCCACTGAGCCACTGTGATTGGTTTCCATGTGCTTTATCTCCATTTAGGGGCCTATCAGTGAGCAGAATTTTGAAGCATATGTAAATACACTCACAGACATGTACAGCAACCTGGAACGGGACTCTTCCCCAGAATGCAAAGCTCTACTGGAAAGTATCAAGCAGGCGGTGAAGGGCATCCACGTGTAGGATGGCAGCACTGCGGGCAGCAGCATTGACCACAGCCGTGACTGCCGGGGACCTGAGAGGGGCTCGTGCCCCTGAGCCCAGGAGGTTGCCCGCTGCACGTAGAGTTGCAACGTTGCACTAATCTTTCCCCAGCTGACATAAAAATGAAAGAAAAACTATGATAGACTCTTTGGACTAAAAGCAATGCAGTTGATTATTAGATCTCATTTATTTTCATATGTTTTTCTTTTATTTCTTCATTGCACTCTTTATTTTGTAAAGTATATGTAAAATAAATGTGACATTTTATATTTTATTTATTACTAATCAAAGAGTTTTTTATCTTTTAACTGCATTTTGAGGTCTATGATATTTTTACAAGTGTGTTTATTAATTTATTTTCTAATAGGATTTAGATAGAAATGCTGTTCTCAAATCACATATCTTGCTGGGTTTAAAAAAGAAAACAAAGAAGTATGAAGGACAGCCGTGTCTGCGGACTGCACTGCTGTCAAGTTTGGTTACTCTTGCACACTTCTTTTTCCACTTCCACTGGTTCTGTGTTTGTAAGTGATTTGTGGGAAAGTGAGCCGCAGAGATGGACTAGGAAGATAAATGGCGCCCACTGGTGGGAAATCCGCACTCACACAAGCACAAGATGCCGCAAAACGGCCTACCCAGAATCCGTTAGCAATAATCAAATACAACAGTCAGCAAAGTGTTCCACACGGCTGTATGGTTTTAGTTAATATGAATTATTTATTTGGACTGTTTGTGAAAAACAGCATTTAGTGATGCAGATTTGTCTGCTTTTCACGTCACATCAGATAGTTGGCAACTCTTTCCCAAGACAAGAAGATTTGATGCGACCAGCCAGCTTCCCCACTGTATGTTAGTACAATATTCAAGTGATGATACTGGTGTAGATTTGTACTTAGAAGATACAAACACACACAAATGGAAAATTTGTAGATACTATATCCCCTGAAATAGCATTTATTTTACAGAGTTGATTGGAAAGGAATGGAAAATATCTAGTAACACATGAAAAGGTGTTACTCCAACCTGAGCAATTACTTTGAATGCTGATAGCATTGGTCTCGGCCTCCTTGGAAAATAAGACAACTTCCAATTTGATGGAATTCTTGCCATTGAGCTACAAGTGGTACACAGTATACTATACGTGCACTCACACACATCCACATACCACATATGTACACACTCACACTCATCCACACTTAAAACTGAGTCCACAATCTCGACTTCTGAATAGGTCAGAGTTTAGTAGTTGCTGTAGTAAAGGCAATGTCTATTTCAGGGACTGTAAAGTAGTTAAGCATTGTTTCAAAAGTTTTTTTATATTTATTTTTTTTAAGGAAAAGGTATAGACAACCAGCTAAACTGCCTTTTTGGTGTGCACACACATTTCATGTGCAGATGTGCCTCAGTGTAAATGTACACATGGATTTAGTGCGGGCTTAACTTTCTGTGCTATAACAAAGTGTTTATTTTTTATTAGCCTCATGGATATTTAGATGGAATGTGATGGCATTCACAGGCTTGGTATTCCACTGTTGTTACTATTACCTGCACAAATACATAAGAAGTCACACTCCACTCTCCTGAAACTGCTCATTGTTACGCATCAAGTGGGGCATATCTTGGGTTTGGGGTTCATTTGAACTCTTGAATCTTAGTTTAGTGAAAATGAAATGTCTGTTCGTAGGTAGGAAAGGTGTTTATTTTAAAAAAAAAATCAACTTAAAAGAAAAAAGCTACCATATGTGCTGTCTACCATAAATGGGACACCAAACAAAAGTTTCTATCAGAGGAAGTACTTGCAACCATTTTGCTATGCAGTTCTTCACAGGCGCATACAAACAGTTCACTTATTGCAAAGACAGAAGTTTAATTTGTTAAATATTTTAACAAATTTGTTATATATTTTATTTAATTTTAAAAGATCTCTCTTACCAACCTATGTATTTATGATTGTAATTTTCAAGACTTCAGTTAATTTATTTGTGTTCACACAGCTGAGCAGGGTGTTTTATGAAGTATGTTAGTATTTATTTGCCTCCTTTGTACTTGATGTGGTTTGTAATGTGCACTGAATTTTTTCTTTTCCGCTATGTCAATGATTGATATTGTAAATTGGGTCTTTTGTAAACAAAAGGCAATGATGTGTGCATTTTTTTATTTCAAGTAGTTTGTTTATATACTGTTTCTCCAAACAATTAATATTTCTTACATCAAAGCAACAAAATTGTGTTCAGTGCTGTACATTTGGTGTATGGTAGGAAATAAAAATTGATAATGAGTACTGCTGTGATCTTCCTTCGACTGCTGGATGAAGATAGGTGTGGTTGTCGCTGAGACCCATAGCTCCAGATCAGCCTTGATATTGCTGAAAGCCTCCAGCAAAGAGGAGTTCTGGCATTTTCTTCCCACAGTGTCTGCTTGACTTTTCCCTCCCAGGTGGCAAGGTCTTTGGGGCAGCAGCTGGTGTAGCGCACACCTCCAGAATGGGCCATGCCTTTGACATAGGCATTATTGCTAGAGCTGGGAGGAGCTTCACCCAGCTCAAGTGAGCAGCACCCGAGGAGTCCTGCCCAACTCCAAACTGCTGCAGGTCCTGAGACTATGGCAGACTTAGGCAAGCTAGTTGAATTCTTAAAGAAGAAATGTACCTGTTATGGTTCTGTTTTTTACTTACTATCAAGTCATCAGCCTAATTTATTTTCTAGTTTCTGAACAGATTTACACATCCCTTAAGTCTGGTTGTTGCTTACAGGTAATGTAAAATTCACATAATGAAGTCAAATTGACTGAAGGAAAGTGTGGGTCCCCAGGGGGAAGCCAGGGCTTAGCTAGGGTAGACCTTCATCCAGCACCACATACCGTCCTTCGGTCACTAAGTTTTCAGAGATGCAGCTCTGCTCAGCCAGGTTCTTAGTTTCCCTTTGCTCAGTATGTTTTATGACTGGGGCTGCCTTTCATTGAGACCTGCAGTTCTATTACCAGCCTGTCATAAGAGGGGTACCAGTCCTAATGGAACTTAGGAATGATGAGTAAGATTCACCACTTCATATAGCAGAATTCTGATGGAAGCACACTAATGCCAGCCCACTTCCTGACTTTTGGGTAAGTGCAGCCTACTGGGGGACAGTGAGATAAATAACAGGCATTGTGATGCTGAGATGCACAGGTCCTACAGAAGCAGTGAGGGTTAGCTAGCAGACTTCCATTTCTTGCAAAAGTATGAGTTCAAGCTTAGTTGAGACAGTTTGGTAAAGACATGGTAAGCAGAGAAACCACAGTGAGGCACCTTGGAAGGAAACTGCTAGCAGCAGCTAAATAGATTTAGAACAATGGTCCTACAGAAGCAGTGAGGGTTAGCTAGCAGACTTCCACTTCTTGCAAAAGTATGAGTTCAAGCTTAGTTGAGACAGTTTGGTAAAGACATGGTAAGCAGAGAAACCACAGTGAGGCACCTTGGAAGGAAACTGCCAGCAGCAGCTAAATAGATTTAGAACAATGAAAATGCGGTAGAGAGAAGCAAGGTACCTGGAGGCTAAAAACTCAGGTGAGTGAGAGAAGGGGTCTTAGTACCAACTGCTGTGCCTGGTGCTTCTGATTTCCACAAGCAGCCCTTGGCATGCAAATAAAGACTGAACTCCAAGGCTGGCTATAGTTCAAGGATAGAGTGCCTACCTCCGATGGGAAGTCTCACCTTCCATCCCCGGCAACTCCCCACCCAAAGCCTTAACAGTCAGCTTTATATTGGAGATATTTTGTTCTAGCAATCTGAATATTTTTTTAGCAGATTTTCAATAAATGTTTATTTGTTGGTACATTAGTATAGCAGGTATCTACTGGCAAGCACACACTGGTTAACAGCAATACTGAAAAGTTGATTACAACCTCAAAGAATTAAAGAATGCCTGGATCCTGCCCCCCAACACACACACAGCATCTCCATTTTAGAACTAGAACCAGTATATGTGTATTTATGTAAAAGATGAAACCATAGTATAGTTAATAACGTCATTCCCTAGGAATTTAGTTTGTCCAGATCTAACTATCTGCGTGCTAGGAGGCACCCAAAGAGTGCATTTGGACAGAAAACTACAAAAAGTGCAATCTTTAGTCTCTGCATTGCAAACTAAGGTTCAAAGGGGAGTAGGCCTCCCTGGAGAGTGCCATGCACTTCCTACTGTCTTACTTCAGAGGAGATCCCAGGGAGAAAAGCCAGCTTTTACCAATCTGTTTGCCTTGACTCTCTGAATGGGACTCTCAAGGATTTCACAGAAAATTGCTTTTTCTTGCCTGCGATACTGGGGATAGAATCCATAGACATGCGCATGCTCAGCAAGTATGTCACCAGCTGAGCTACATCCCCAGCCCTGGTAAATTGCTTTTTAAAAAATACCTGGAATCTGTAGTCCAGTCAAACCAACAGAAGACTCCTTGAAAATAACTTTTTATTATTAAAATTTTTGAAAGATGATTTAGACCTTTGGCTTGTAATTCTTGGATTCTCAAGACTTTATCTTTGCTTTAATAAGCAAATACTAATTATTACCTTTAAAATTCTTTATAATACACACATCTCTAAAATTCATTGCCTGAGTCATTCAATACCTAGTTTCTCTCTTCTCCACAAGAAGGTAAGGCAAGAATCCTGTGTGAGAGCAAGCTCACAGGCCACAGGACTACCAACAACTAACGAGAAGTTAACCAACCAAATACTTCTTACATCAAAGCAACGCAATTGCATCCCGTGTATTTGTGAAATAATAGGAAATAAAATCAATGAGTTTTTCTGTGGTCATTTTCAGCCTGTCCCTTTAGGAGTAGAATTGGGACTGCAGCGCTTCTACTAATCAAGTCCTGAATGAAAAGGGATGGATGATTCTTTTACTAGAAAAGGTTTTAGAACTTAATTTGCTCTGGTACATGGGCATTTTATCACTAATGTTTTCTATGTGTCCTTCCACACATTGCACCCCCTTCATTGTGATTGGCAGGTAGTGCCTTTCTCCTTTAACTATCCAAAGGTAATATAAAGTAAGCAGACTGAATTTGCTAGTAATTTCACTGTTAGGAATAGTAGTCACGCTTTGTAAACTGACAAAATCATCAAGCTTATGGACCCAATATCCAGTGGAACCGATGAGACTGATTCTCAGAGGTTAGTAGTTTACCCAAGGCTATAAAACCAGGAAAAAGTACATCCCAGATTTGGCTTTGGGTGTGTTTTATTGAAAAGAAAAATCAAGCCTATTCCCATACCAGAATGTCTGGTTTCTCCATGGATTCACTGGCCTGAGTTAGCAGAAGCAAGAAAACTTCTGACCTCACTGCCCGAGGTGGTCTGTTTAGGCTCCTGCCAGATGTTGTCTTGTCTGCAGAAAATTTTTTATGAAGAAGTAAGATGAAGGTGTGTACTGAGATCTGAAATAATCCCAGTTGGTATTTGCCACTGTGACTAAAGTACCAAACATCAACCTCTTAATCGAAGAAGCATTCATTTGGTTTCAGAGATGTTTGTCCAATGCATTGGGTAGGCCATGGCAAGGTAGAGCAGTCCATATCAAGGTGGCCAGGAAGGGGAATAGAAAAGAGAATGAAAGAGAAAAAGGGAATTTAGGAAAGGGCCAGCAGGAGATGGAGCCACAAGCACCCCTCCCCAGTTAATTTACTTCTTCCCACAAAGCCCTACCACCTGCCTTATACCACTTTCTAATAATGCCATCGTAATATGAATCCATGGGATTAATCCATTCACGAGGGCAGAGTCCTCAGATCTGTCTGTCTCTTGAAGTGTCCTTATAGGCACACTAATCTAGATACTTATAAACCCAACTGAGTTAGAAAGTTAAATTCACTGCTAGAATGCTCATGTGGCATCTGATTCCCTCCTCCCACTGTCCTTACGATAATTTGAGGAAGAATTCTCCAAAACCGCCATTTGGAGGATCTTAATGAGTTTATTGGACTTGCTAACTGATCTTGGGGTGCTGGTTGACTTATAGAAGAGTGGGCACCTCCCCCCATTCACAGTTGTGCTCGAAAGTCCACACCCAAACATAAGTCCTACAGCTTCCCAACAGCCGCACAAAATGGCAAGAGAGCGGCCTTGCGGTTTTCCTGCCTTATATACCCTTAGTCCCCCGCCTTCAAGCAGCTAATGTCAACTGATTTGCTGGAAGAGGTAATAGGCTTGACTCCTTCTGCAGAGTGTGAGAAGGAGGCAGGACCATGGCTTGTCCTCACAGGGTCAGAGGAACATCCAGGTCACAGTGGACAATCAAAAATATCAGAATGGACCATCACACCTACAACTGTTATTCAGTATACTCCTGAATTCACTGTCCTGGGCCTCAAAGCTACATTGCAAAGGAATTACAGCAGTGCTTAGGAAACTGGGATTAGAAAAAATAAAGTGCTGATGCCCCACAGGTGAGTACCAGGGTCAGGATTCAGCTCAGCTCTGACCAGAAGATGAGCCCTGTCCTGGAAGTCATCGTTCCTGCTGTCAGCCACTCCTCTGCGGCTGTCCAGTTTCCTGCTTCAGTTCTTGGAGACATTGGGCAAGACACAGTCAGTCAGTCACCACTTACGGAAAAGTTGTTAGATGAAGCTTTGCTGTCACATTTAGAGCACACTGTTATGGAGCATTTTTCTTGCAAACACATATCATAAAAAAAGTGCTATCATAATTTATGCAGTGATTTGGTATTGAACATTTTAAAATATGCTTCATTAACAAAATCATGAAAATGTAAATAACTCATTTTTTTCTTTTTCTTTTCCCCTTGACTCCTAGGTCCTTTGTGTATGAGGACAGTTTTGGATTGGCCCCTGACAAATTAAAGGGCATTTCCACTGACTTCTACCAGCTATTAAATATTCTGAAGCGTAAAGAGAAAGTGAAGTTCCCTGCTCTTAAGAATTATCTGCTTCAGTAGAATTTTGCACTTTGATATGCACTTATATGAAAGGAGTCATTTTCCTTCCCTGATTGACTGCTTGTTCAGTTTTATATGAGAGTGATGGAGATGTGAGTTAGTTGTTCTAAAGAGTATGTAGCACTTTGGGGTATGCTGCTAATAATGCTTTTAAAGAACCAGCCTCTTAAAAGACCCAATGGACATTCCTCCAGCTGGCTGCCCAGGTCACAGCTTGCTGTCCTTATGGGCAAGCATGATCACTGGGCTGGTACTATCAGCATAGGTTCACTATTCCAGAAAATTCTTGCCCAAGAAGGAAATCTGAAAGGATCTTCATTGTTTATTTTCCAGGAAATTCCCAGCAGC